CGGGACAGGGCCCAGAGTTTCTGATGGACTTTCCAATCCGGGATCCCCAGACTCCTGCGGGACGCCTAAGGACTGGTTCTCTGCTGAGAGGCCAGCGGGCTCCCACTGCACTCTGAGGATCCAGCCTGTAGAGCTAGGGGACTCGGCCGTGTCCGTCTGTGCCAGCAGCTCCAGCACAGGGTGGCCCCGTCACCCCCTCATGCGCGCACACCCTCATCCTTCTCCCTCCATGCAGCTCCCCCACTCTAAGCAGCCCTTCTTTGCTCATCGTTCCCCAGTGACGATGCAGTTCTGGGCATCAGCTGTGCTTTGGGAAGAGAGAACAAAGCCCTGCCTGGTGAGTCTCAGTTGGCTGGGCCTGGTACTGCCAAGCAAACTGCTTGCTGTTTGATTCCCAGTCAGGGCACATGTCTGGATTGCAGAACTGATACCCTGTTGAGGGACATACAAGAGGTATCCTATGCATATTTCTCCCACATCAATGTTTCTCTCCTTCTCTTTCACATCCCCTCTCATCTCTCTGAAAGTAAATAAATAACATAACTAAGTAATGAGGATTCCCAGAGCCAGCTCAGTGCTCCAAGGCACAGACTGAACATCGTGGACACAAATAGTCAGCAGTAGGACTGTGGGTCTCGGCCCCAAACACAGCTCCGCTGTGGGTGGGGAGTGTGCCTGCTCCTCAGGGCTTGTCCACACCTGGAATGCTGGCGACACCCTCTTCCTGCGCACCCTTCTCTGAGCCGCCCTGTCACCTTGGGGGCTTTCTACAGCAACTTGTCAAATGTTCCTTCCTGTTGGGAGTGAAGGTCTTCACCGCTTTTGTGCCCGTTGACTGAGAATCGCCATAGTGATACCTGAACGGCGTCATGTCCTCTGCCAGGCTGCAGGAGCCCACACTCTACTGTGTTTTCTTTTTCCCGCTGCTCCATCCTGAGTGTCAGGCTGCAGCGTCCGTCCACGACCTCTCGGCTTTGTCTTGACGCCGTGGGTAAATCCTCGTAGGGATGGGGGTGTTGTTGGCAACCTCCCGTTTTGACTTGAAGTAATTTCCCTGAATTCTTTAACTCAATGTGATATGACATTTTCTCGACAACATGCTTTATTTCTTTTTATTTATCTTCCTTGTTATGTTGGGATATATGATTTGCTCAAATATAAATAACCGAGCCCCTGTGTGTGGGGGCAGCTACAAACGTCTGGCAAACCCCCGGCCATGGGCAGAGGGGACAGGCCTTCGGATCATGGGTTTTTCTGGGAGTCCTGAGAGGTAACCCTCGGCTCTGATGCTGGGACTGGATGTCCAGACTCAGTCCCAATCAAGGTGCCTGAGCCTTGGGTAGCAGGTAGTGACAGTGTCTGTCCCTCCAAACCCACCTAAACACTGTGGTAGCCATGACACCAGATCTGCTCACCCAGGAACGAGAGTCCTTGGGGGGGACATTTCCTGGTCGTGTGTGGACTGTGCTCAGGCCCCTGGGCCCCCTGGGAGGGAGGGAGGCCTGGGCTCCCAGGGCAGCTCCCTGTCCTCGGGAAGCCATCAGGGACCCTTCCCTGGACTGTGTCCCCATTTGTGCCACTGCCCAGCACCTGACCCTGGCCACTCTGCTTCCTTAGGACACTGCTTTGTACCAGTGTTCGCTTGTCTCCCACAGCGCCGCCGCTTCCCCCAGAACCAGCTCCGTGCTCACAGAGCAGGTGCCCACTGTGCGGCTGCTCCTCCCGGGTGGGCTGTGCGTGGGGTTCTCAGTCCCCGCGTCCTCAGCTCCCCATTGGGTGTGTCTTCTCCGCGACTGCTCCCCAACCGTGTGTGTTATATATCACTTGTGTTTCAATTTTAACATTTATTCCCACACATTTGCCTCCATCTTGAAGGTAATATCATTATCTTCCCAGTCTTTGCCAATTTATATTTTGGAGATAACATGAAAGACCTGTTTTCTTTTTGCATTATGTTTATTTCTAGCAATGGAGATAAAAGAAACACTTTACCCTTCACCTTGGGTGTTTTCTTTTCTCCTTTGGACAAGATATTATTTCCTTTCATTCCCCTTCTTTCCCTTTGCTTTTCAGAAGATGGTTTTAAGGAAGCACATCCCAGACTGCAGCTGCAGATTATGCGATAGTGCTCCAGGGGGACAGGGGTGGGGTATTAAGTATGGAAACGGAAAGAAATAGCATCATGGTGGGAATTAATATTGGTATTACGGCTTACAAATGTTGAGATACCATTTAAAGGATAGTGCTTCTGGAATCTTCTGCCTGTAGACCAGGCAGACATGGCTACCATCCCTTGGGCTGTGGCAGAAGACACAGTAATGAGATGTCAGTTACTGGCCACCAGATGGCACTGTGACGCCACTGACCTGGAAGGGGCTCTGGGGAGAGTCTGGGAGAGCAGGAAAGGGTTAAGAAGACCTGGGCAGGGACCCAACACAGGGCAGATGCTGAGGCAGGTTTCAGTTGTGGGCAGTCTCCCTACAGCTGTGGAATGGGTGGGAGGTCCCGCTAAAGGGTAAAAGACCCACTGTTGATGGATTTGGTCAAGGCAGCCTTGCTGGCAGGGGCAGGTGCAGAGAGAGAAGTAACTGTCCCCTAGCACTGTGAGACCAGGAGTGGCCCAGGTTAGGTCAGTGAAGGGACCTCTGTGCTACATGTGTGCAGGGGGAAGCAGCTGGAGCCACTGAGGGGTCCTAGGACGCATGGAGCTGGCACAGGCTCCTCCTGCCCAGGGAGAGGGGACCTGCCTGCACCTCAGGAGGCACCAAGTAGGGGTCTCCTTGAGCAAAAAGGGCAAAAATGGATGTAGGGCCAGCAGCCAGAGTTGGTACTTCGTTCAGGCAGGGCCAGGCAGGGACAATTTTGTAGGCACTTGGGGGCGGTGCGGAAGCTGCAGCTAACCTTAGCCATGGGGCTGTGCAAGACATGGAATGATGCACAGAAGCTAGAACCGGGGTCCCACCAAGGGTTCAGAGCACCAGGGGGCAGCCTCCTTGGAGAGTCCCATCAGAGCAGCGACAACATCAGACCAATGATGTCATAGCAAATGCTCCTATCAGCACACAGGGAGTACAGAACTGTAGGCCGCTCACCCCAGGGGACCCCACCCTGATCTGAGAAAGGTCCTGGGAAGCTGCCATGGGCCCCAGGCTCCTCTGCTGTGTGGCCCTTTGTCTCCTGGGAGCAGGTGAGCCCTGGACACTGTGTGTAAGTCTGGACACACAGTCACATCCCTGACACACAAGCCTGGGGGTGGGGGCTGCCTCGGGAGGCTCCCTGGGCTCTGCCCCCAGCTCCTCTGTGTCTCCTCCCAACAGGCCCAGTGGACTCCGGAGTCACGCAGACCCCAAAACACCTGATCACAGCAAGAAAACAGCAAGTGATGCTGAAGTGTTCCTATATCTCTGGACACCTCTCTGTGTATTGGTACAAACAGGTTCAGGGTCAGGGCCCTGATTTCCTGGTTGAGTACTACAATGGGCAAGAGCGACAAAAAGGGAACCTGCCTGATCGGTTCTCCGTGAAGCCACTGGATGGCTACCGCTCTGAGCTGACCGCGAGCTCGCTGGAGCTGAGCGACTCGGCCCTGTATCTCTGCGCCAGCAGCCCTGACACAGCCCTGCAGGAGCGGCAGCCCCCTGCACAGAAACACTCCGCCCCACTCAGGAAGTGGCAGCTGTCAGCCAGACAGCCTCAGGCCTGAGAGAGCAGCTCACCTTCCCCAGGCACTGTCTGCTGTTCCCCGATGGGGTGGGATTGGATGCCCACAGACATCATGCAGCTTAGGTGTCATTGTCCTGTTTATACACCTGGTGGGAAGTCATGTTCCTGGGCCTCAGATTTCATAACCCAAGGAGGAGGAACTCGCTCAAGTCTGCTCCTCAACACATACGGATGTGCACGACTGCCCCTCCCCCGCTCCCAGCGCTGGGCCCACATTGGCTTCCCTTTTCCCGGTTTAGGTGAGTGGGCCTGGGGACATCACACACCATCGGGGATTGTCGACCTTTTCCCTGACAGCTTCAAGGAACATTTCACTTCAGGCAACGAATATCCATGCATCCCTCATGATGACAGCAGAGAAAAGCACGATTTCTTTTTTTTGCCCTTTTTTAAGGATTTTATTTGTTTATTTTTAGAGGGGAGGAGAGGGAGAAAGGAGAGAAACATCATTGTGTGGTTGCCTCTTGTGCGCCCCCTACTGGGGACCTGGCCTGCAAGTCAGGCATGTGCCCTAGTCTGGGAATTGAACCAGCGACTGAGCAAGGCACAATTTCCTGCACTGTCCCCGTCACCTGGGCCTGCACAGAGTCTTGAAGGAAGTTAGGGTTCCTGCAAAGCATGGGACTGTGTGTAGATTAGCTGCAAGTGTTTAAAGACTCATTATATTTATCATAATTAATGTCAGGAATCCTTCACATGGAGACATTCCCTGGGGAACAATGCCTCAATTTAAAAAGAGCATTTCTCACTCTCTCTCCTTGGTGGCAGCCGCCTCTCCCCACATCCCTCTGTAACCCGAGGGGCCAGCAGGGCACCTGCAGAGCTGAGCACCCCACAGAGAGGGAGGTGTCCCCCTGGACTGGATGTGCGGCCACTGCCTCACCCCATACACAGGAGGACGTTCTCAGGTGACTGTGAAAGTACTGGGGAGCACGAGGCAGGGGTCCCATCTGTCGGGGGATGGAGAGGAAACAGAGTCAAAGGATCCTCAAGTGGTGACAAGCCTGCCCCTGAGGTCTGACCACCAGAGACCAGGAGGGCCCCTGTGGGAGGAGGGACAGTGAGCGGATGCTGGACGACCAGCAAAGTAAAAAGGAGGTTGAGGGACGGCTTGGGCTTCCAGAGCCCTAGAGGCATCAGAACGCCCTCAGGGGTTGCCCTCAGGTGCAAGAGCACAGGGACGTGTACTCACAGCAGACCAGGGCGGCATGAAGGTCTGTGGGCAGGACGAAGCAGCCCTGAGTCACACACTGTGTGCACAGAGGGGGAGGGCGACTCTGGGACTCCTGGCAGCTCAGCCACACGCGTTCTTCTCCCTCCGAGCTGTGACCCTGCCCGTCTGCTTCTGATCTGATGCTCTGGGGAAGGGGCGTGTCCCCGTGTGACCAGCTGGCGCTGGGGCCCAGGCAGCGGGAGTGACACCTCAGAGAGACTCCCTGGACAGCCCTGCTCCTGTGCAGCCTCCCACAGACCCAGAGGGACCCTGAGTCAGCCCGGATCGTACCATGAGCGGCGGCCTCCTGTGCTGCGTGGCCTTGTGTCTCCTCCGTGCAGGTGGGTCCTGGGCTGGGCCCCTCTGTGGGGACAGTGCCCAGGCCCAGCAGCGAGCCGCTCCCTGGAGGCTGCAGCATCTGTTCCCCTGTCTTCCCCGCAGGTCTGGGGATGGCCGGCGTCACTCAGTCCCCGACATTCCAGGTCGTGACAACAGGACAGACAGTGACCTTGAGTTGTGCCCAGGACTTGAACCATGACAACATGTACTGGTACCGACAGGACCTGGGTCATGGGCTGAGGCTGATCCATTACTCAGTGGGTGTTGGGTTCGAGGACAAAGGAGATGTCCCCGATGGGTACAGCGTCTCTAGATCAGATATAAAGAACTTCCCCCTCACGCTGGAGTCGGCCACCCCCTCCCAGACATCTGTGTACTTCTGCGCCAGCAGTGAACCCACAGTGCTGCACGGCCGCCTCCTCTCTGCACAGAAAGTCAGGGGGGGACACCAGCACCCACACTTAGCGGAGCCCTGTGCAAATGCCTACACCTTAGACTCCGCAGTAACCCCCACCTTCAGGGTGACCCTCTGTGTAGGCTGGGGTTGCCCTCTAGGGCAGTGTCTGCCAGGCTGGGACCAAAGCCTGGGCCTGGGACACACAGTTGTCCACCAGTGATGGCTGACTGTCTGTATGTCCTCTGTAGCTGGTTCATTGGCTGGGAAGGTGCTTCCCCAGCTCTTGCTTGTCTTGTCACCAGCCTGAGTCAGAGGCCATCAGGGTGGGTGGTCATCAGTAACCAGACACATCTGTGCCCACTTGTGTATCATACACACATGTCTGACAGGTCAGTCACAGGTGGTCTCCTCGAAAAAACCTTTGAGCAATCTGTTTTCAAATGCATGGTGACTCAGAAGGACAGGAGGCTTTTCTGTGGGCAGTGGAGACATGAGAGCACAGGGAAGTCAGGGAGCACAGAGGGGACACTTGGTCGTGACCTGCAGAAGGAGCAGGAGCTTCCTACTGAGGTGTTCCCAGGGTGTCGCTCCATCTGTGTGTCTCTGAGTGTGTCAGTGTGTCCAGGGCAAAGCCGAGTCACCCCGATGCCCACCCTCGCCTAAGAAAGGGAGGAGGTTGAGCACGTGTGACCGGGAGAGTGGAGGGGGTGGTGACAGGACAGGGTGCTCCCAGGAGATCCTGAATTGCAGAGAGGGTGATGAATTCACCCTTTGGTGTGCTGTACTGATGACACTGTTGGCATGTCCTAGTGAAACGGCCAGCTGAGGCGTCAGAAGGAGAAGAGGAAGAGCAAGAAATTGAAAACTTATTTGAAAAAGTCATGAAGGGAAACCCCCAATCTGGCGAAGGAAATAGACTTCCAAGATGTCCAGGAAGCTCAGAGAGTCTCAAAGAAATTGGACTCAAGGAGCACACACCAAGGCACATCATAATTAAGTTACCCGAGAGTAAAGATAAGCAGAGAATGTTAAAAGCAGCAAGAGGAAAGGAAAGAGTTGCTTACAAAGGAGTTCCCTTTAGACTATCAGCTGATTTATGAAAAGAAACCTTGAAGACAAGAAGGGCTGGAAAGAAGTAGTTGAAGTCATGCAAGGCAAAGACCTATATCCAAGATGACTCTACTCAGCAAAGCTATCATTTAGAATGGAAAGGCAGAGAAAGTGCTTCCCAAATGAGGTCAAGTTACAGGAGTTCATCAACACCAAACCCTTATTATATGAAAAGATAAAAGTACTTATGTAAGAAATAGAGGAAGATCAAAAACCAGGAACAGTAAAATGACAAGAAACTCACAAGTATCAACAACTGAACCTGAAAAAAAAACAAAACCAAAAGCTAAGCAAACAATAAGACAGGAGGAGAATCACACAAATGGAGATCACCTGGAGTGTTATCAGTGGGGAGGATGAGGGAGGAGAATGGGGGTAAAGGTACAGGGAATGAGAAGCATAATTGGTAGGCACAAAATAGAGAGGGGGAGGGTAAAAATCGTATAGGAAACAGAGAAGCCAAAGAACTTCTGTGTACAACCCATGGACATGAACTAAGGGGTGGGGGGAATGTTGGAGGGTGAGAGGGTGCAGGGAAGATGAGGAGAAAGTGGAGGAAAAAAATCAGGACAACTGTAATAGCACAATTAGTAAAATATATTTTTAAAATAAATGAAGATATCTAAACTTAAAAACACACACATTCTCCTTTATGAAAATTGTAATAATCCCATTCATCAAAAGATATTAAGAAGATGTCAGTATATATCTGAAAAGAGCATGTATTCAAAATACAAACAATTCCTAGAAATCAATAATTAACGAAGACAAATCAATTAAAAAAAGTTTGAACATGGTGCTCTGAAAAAAAAGTGACATGTAAGTAGACCATTTCTTAGTTCCTTCTGCACAGAGGGTGTCTTTCAGTGCTGAGGAGATGTTTTGGCTGACAGGAGCCCCGCGTAGACCCTCCCCAGAGTGAAGACAGAGCGTTGCTGAGGGTCCTGCCTTCCCTTCCCTGGGCAGCTGCGTGCATGGCGTCCTGTTTCCATGATCACTCACTGATCAGGTTGATAACTTTTATTCTAGTTTGGAAAAAGGCATCACACCTCCCTCACCACCACAGGCAAAGGGTGAACCTGAGAAAGGTAAACAAGAAAGCAGCAGGAGCTGAGCAGAGTCCTTGGGGATCCCTGATGACTAATTTAGGCACAACCCAGCCTGGGGGTTTCCTGATGACTGACTTAGGCAGAACCCAGCCAGCTCCAGCAGGGTGAACAGCGCTGCTGCACAAGTGGCCACTTGAGGGCGCTGTGGATCCACGGAGCAAGATGCTGATGGCACCCTGTGGGAGAGGGAGGGTTCATGGGAAGAATCTTGGCTTGGTTCCTGCAAGAAGGAGATTATCTGATTAATCTGAGGTTCACTGATCTTATCTTCTCACATTCACTGACAAGCAGGTGGGTATGTTTTAGCAAGAAGCCATGAAGTAGGCCTTGCAGGGAGTTAAGTTTCTCCTGGAGCCTGTGTTTGGTGGAGAGTGTGATGGGGCTTCAGGGAGGAGGCTGGGTAACCTGAGCCAGTGTAGAGCAAGGAGCACCTGCTCAAGGCAGACACAACCTGTGCTGATGGCCACCTGCCCTGTACCCTCAGGGCCCAACTCAGCACAGCCAGCTGCACCTGCTCGTAGGTGATGGACAAACTCAGGAAATGCAGGGCCAGCTGAGCCTATCCCGGAGGTGTGGGTGCCCACGAGATGCTACAAAGACAGTGACATCAGAACAGTGACATCACAGGCATGCCCTCCAAAGAGAGCAAAGGGAGGGAGGGACAAGCCTGTGCTGTCTCACCCCAAAGACCAGAGCCCTGGGCAGAGACATGGCCTGGCTGGTCCTGCCTCAATCCTCCAGGGGCACCCAGCTCCTCTGTTGCATGGTCCTGTATCTGCTGGGACCAGGTGAGTCTCAGCACAGGTGGGACTTCCCTCCAACCCAGTGTTTTTTATTGTTCCTGGAGTGTCCATCTGCCTCCTGGGCTGGTCTCAGTTCCATTTCCTTTGTCCACAGGGTCATTGGCTGCTGGAGTCACCCAGTCCCCAAGACACCTCATCAAAGGCCGTGGTGGGGAGGCCGTTCTGAAATGCCATCCCATCTCTGGACACAAGAGTGTGTACTGGTACCAACAGGCTCGGGGGCAGGAACCCAAGTTTCTCATTCGGTATTATGAACAGCAGGAGTACGTGAAAGAAAACTTCCCCGACTGCTTCAAAGGGAAACAGTTCAGAGACTACAGCTCCGAGCTGGCCATGCACACCTTGCAGCTGGAGGACTCGTCCGTGTACCTCTGTGCCAGCAGCTTAGACACAGCCTGCAGGGCCCATGCCTTTCTGTACCCAAACTGTCCTGTCCCAGTTGTAGTCACAGGCAGAGGGAGGGGACCTCAGCCCAGTTCCACAGATGGATTTCATTGTTTTCTGCCACACCCTTGCCCTACCGAGCTCAGCTAGAGCCTTCTGAATGTTCTGCCAGCTCCAACAGCAGTGTGGAATTCCCAGCACATGGCAGGAAGCCCTTCTCTGTGACAGAGTGGAGTCCACACTGTGTGTTGTGGTGCCCGGTCCTGGTGGACACTTTGTGTTCACTTTGCAGACGGGGGAGCACTCAGTGCACCATTTCATACACCGGGAGCTGAAGCTACTGGACCTTCCAAACGTCCCATGCACGTCCATCCTTCATCTCCACGCTTATGAAGTCAGCAAGACCCTGGATTCCATCATCGTACCAGGTCCTTGGTCCATAGGGTAGAACAGAGCACAGTCTCTCCTGTTTCAAGAGCATCTGAGCTGGGATGGGGAGGTCACCCCTCAGGAGTGGGGGACACAGCTGATTGCCTGCCAACTGCTAAGATGTAGAGCTTCAAGACAGAGTACATGTGTCTGTCCTGTCATAGTTCCAGACAGAGCAAGACCATGATATGCTCCTCTGAGAGGAGCTAAGTCACCTGGGGAATTTCCAGCCCATCAAGAAATCCTTGGAGGGAAACAGAACCCTCTAGGAATGAACGTCAAGGAGCACTCTGGGAGCTCATGCGGGGAATGCGTGTTTCTAAACTGCTGGACAGGGCGGGGGATGGGGGTTTCTCAGCCTGTCCTCAGCTTTACCACTTCTGGTCAGGAAATCTCAACTTGCCCCATGTGCCCAGGTGAGGAGCTGCAGACTACACCTGAGTGTCACATCGCCCTGGCTTCTGATATTTGAGTCCGTGTCCCTTCTTACTGCTGGTTGGTTGTTGTTGCCCATCAAGGTGACATCAAGATACACAGTCACAGACAGGGTCACGTCACACTGAAGTATGACCTGTGTAAGAGGTAGCAGCACTGGGACCGCTGGCTGAATATCCCATCCACGTCACTGACGAGGCTCCTCTCTTTGTCACAGAAAGCACAGTCACGGGGCCAAAGGTATCTAGTCCCCCTGGGCCTCAGCTGGAACCAGGGGAGACTCTTACCCGTGAGCATGCAGAGACCTGAGCTCGGGTGGCTGGGCTCCCAGCAGTGGGTGAATCGTGGTAAAATGTAAAAGAATTCTCAGATTCCAATGGCCTTGACCCCAAGGCTATGAAAACTGGATATGGGTTTGTTCCTTTAAGGGAGACGGTCCCTATGGGCTGACATTGAAATTACCCAGAGTTTATGCAAAGAGAAAAACGAGAATAATGCATCTGAAGTGAAATTTGATCGGAGAAGTCACCACCAAAGTATGAGGATTGCTATGAGAACATTTCCTAGTCTACAGTAATAGGATGAAAAACTGTACAGGTAAGGAATTGTATCATTGTGCATAGAAGAACGAATTTGCTTACCAAAAGTCAGGGGAAAGCATACGTACTGCTAAGATTTCTTTAAAAAGTGGCTTACACATTTTTCCCATGCTGCACTGCTCAACTGTCTCTGTGTCACTGGGTTGTTCCTGTGGGGGAGGGGGAGGCAGGTGAGCTCTGTAGCTGAGGCATCTGTGAAGGACAGTGATGTCCCCGAGTCCCTGAGAGGCTGACTTGTATTTCCCCAAACAGAACTGGGAGAGGTGACATTCTGCGCTGGACCTGAGATGGTCACCAGGGTCTGCTTCTGTGTGGCTCTTTGTCTCCTGTGGGCAGGTGGGTGCAGGTGGGCTTCCTGCCCTGGGATTCCCAGCATTCAGTCCCAGGCTTGGTCTTAGGATGACAACGTAAGGCTCTGTCACTTTCTCCACAGGACACTTGGAAGCAGGAATTACCCAGAGTCCAAGGTACAAGGTCACAATGATGGGAAAAAACGTGACACTGAAGTGTCACCAGTCTGATAACCATAACGCTATGTCCTGGCATCGACAAGACCTGGGCCATGGGCTGAGGCAGATATATTACTCAGGGGGTGTTGGGTTCTCCAGCAAAGGAGAGGATGCTGATGGGTACAGTGCGTCTAGAGTGAACATGGAGGACTTCCTGCTCATGCTGGAGTCGGCCACCCCCTCCCAGACATCTGTGTACTTCTGTGCCAGCAGAAAAGTGGTGATCCACAGCGCTGCACGACCACCCTCTTTCTGCACAAAAACGATTGTTGCGGCCCTGCACTCGGGATTCATGGGACCCCTGAGCAAACTCCTACACCTGAGAGCCCTGAGGCACCTTGCCTGCAGGGAGACCACAGGTGTGTGATGAGGTCCCCCTCTAGGTTAGTGTCTACCAGGTCCGGTCTAGGTCCAGGGCCTCAGACACATAGTGTGCACTGTCGCTGTCTGTCAGTCTGTCCTGCCAGGTGCTCTGTTAGCTTGGAAGTTCTTTGTTCTTCCTAGCTCTTGTTGTCATCAGCCTGAGTGTGATGCTTCTGGAGTGGGGAGTCATGAATAGTAGCATATCCATGTAGATCCCCGTGAGTATCACCTGCAGGGGTGTTGAACGTGCAGGACATTGAGTCTTCCTCCAGACGAAAGGTATAAGAAACGTGGTTTTTAGTGCTGGTGACTAAGGAGGACTCGGGGCTTTGCTGTGGGCAGGGGAGACACCTAGTAGTACGTGGAGGTTGATGAGCAGAGAGAGGGCACTAGGTCGAGCCCTGCAGAAGGAGTGGGAGCTTCCAACTCAGATATTTCCCAGGGCATCACTCAAGGTGTCTCCAAGCAAGTGGGGCCAGGGAGTGGCCCTCATGTGTGGTCTCATTTCTGGACACTTGACATTTACATGTGCTGACAGATTCCGGGGTGGGCCCCGAGTTTCTGATGTACTTTCCAATCCGGGATCCCCAGACTCCTGCGGGACGCCTAAGGACCGGTTCTCTGCTGAGAGGCCAGCGGGCTCCACTGCACTCTGAGGATCCAGCCTGCAGAGCTGGGGGACTCGGCCGTGTCCCTCTGTGCCAGCAGCTCCAGCACAGGGTGGCCCCCTCACCCCCTCATGCGCACACCCTCATCCTTCTCCCTCCATGCAGCTCCCCCACTCTAAGCAGCCCTTCTTTGCTCATCGTTCCCCAGTGACGATGCAGTTCTCGACATCAGCTGTCCTTTGGGAAGACAGAACAAAGCCCTGCCTGGTGAGCCTCAGTTGGCTCGGCATGGTACTGCCAACCAAACTGCTTGCTGTTTGATTCCCAGTCAGGGCACATGTCTGGATTGCAGAACTGATACCCTGTTGAGGGACATACAAGAGGTATCCTATGCATATTTCTCTCCCACATAAATGTTTCTCTCCTTCTCTTTCACATCCCCTCTCATCTCTCTGAAAGTAAATAAGTAACATAATTAAGTAATGAGGATTCCCAGAGCCAGCTCAGTGCTCCAAGGCACAGACTGAACATCGTGGACACAAATAGTCATCAGTAGGACTGTGGGTCTCGGCCCCAAACACAGCTCCGCTGTGGGTGGGGAGTGTGCCTGCTCCTCAGGGCTTGTCCGCATCTGGAATGCTGGTGACACCCTCTTCCTGCGCACCCTTCTCTGAGCCGCCCTGTCACCTTGGGGGCTCTGCAGCATCTTGTCAAATGTTCCTTCCTGTTGGGAGTGAAGGTCTTCACCGCTTTTGTGCCGGTTGACTGAGAATCGCCATAGTGATACCAGAATGGCGTCATGTCCTCTGCCAGGCTGCAGGAGCCCACACTCTACTGTGTTTTCTTTTTCCCCGCCGCTCCATCCTGAGTGTCAGGCTGCAGCGTGCGTCCACGACCTCTCGGCTTCGTCTTGACGCCGTGGGTAAATCCTCGTAGGGATGGGGGTGTTGTTGGCACCCTCCCGTTTTGACTTGAAGTAATTTCCCTGAATTCTTTAACTCAATGTGATATGACATTTTCTCGACAACATGCTTTATTTCTTTTTATTTATCTTCCCTGTTATGTTGGGATATATGATTTGCTCAAATATAAATAATGGAGCCCCTGTCTGTGGGGGCAGCTACAAATGTCTGGCAAACCCCCAGCCATCTGCAGAGGGGACGGGCCTTCGGATCATGGGTTTCCAGGAGTCCTGACAGGGAACCCTCGGCTCTGATACTGGGACTGCATGTCACAGACTCAGTCCCAATCAAGGTGCCTGAGCCTTGGGTAGCAGGTAGTGACAGTGTCTGTCCCTCCAAAACCCACCCAAAAACTATGGTAGTTATGACACCAGATCTGCTCACCCAGGAACGAGAGTCCTTGGGGCGGACATTTCCTGGTCGTGTGTGGACTGTGCTCAGGCCCCTGGGCCCCCTGGGAGGGAGGGAAACCTGGGCTCCCAGGGCAGCTCCCTGTCCTCGGGAAGCCATCAGAGACCCTTCCTGGACTGTGTCCCCATTCATGCCACTGCTCAGCACCTGACCCTGGCCGCTCTGCTTCCTTAGGACACTGCTTTGTACCAGTGTTCGCTTGTCTCCCACAGCGCCGCCGCTTCCCCCAGAACCAGCTCCGTGCTCACAGAGCAGGTGCCCACTGTGCGGCTGCTCCTCCCGTGTGGGCTGTGCGTGGGGTTCTCAGTCCCCGCGTCCACAGCTCCCCATTGGGTGTGTCTTCTCCGCGACTGCTCCCCAACCGTGTGTGTTATATATCACTTGTAGCTCAATTTTAACATTTATTCTCACACATTTGCCTCCATCTTGAAGGTAATATCATTATCTTCCCAGTCTTTGCCAATTTATATTTTGATGATAACATGAAAGACCTGTTTTCTTTTTGCATTATGTTTATTTTTACCAATTGAGATAAAAAATGCTTCACACTTCAACTTGTGTGTTTTCCTTCCTACTTGGACTAGATATTATTTCCTCCCACTCCCCTTCTCTCCCTCTGCCTTTCAGAAGACAATGTGAAGGAAGCCGATCCCAGACTGCAGCTGCAGATGACGTGCTGGTGCTCCAGGGGGACAGGGGTGGGGTATTAAGCATGGAACCTGAAAGAAATAAGGTCATGGTGGGTAATAAAGTTGGGATGAGGGTTCAGGATGTTGAGATACCTTATTAAGGATAGTGCTTCTGGAATCCTCTGCCTGCAGACCAGGCAGGCAAGCCCACCATCCCTTGGGCTGTGGCAGAAGACACAGTAATGAGATGTCAGTTACTGGCCACCAGATGGCACTGTGACACCACTGACCTGGAAGGGGCTCTGGGGAGAGTCTGGGAGAGCAGGAAAGGGTTAAGAAGACCTGGGCAGGGACCCAGCACAGGGCAGATGCTGAGGCAGGTTTCAGTTGTGGGCAGTCTCCCTACAGCTGTGGAATGGGTGGGAGGTCCCGCTAAACGTTAAAAGACCCATGGTTGAAGGACTTGGGCAAGGCAGCCTTTCTGGCAGGGGCAGGGGCAGAGAGAGAATTAACTGTCTCCTAGCACTGCGGGAGACCAGGAGTGGCCCAGGTTAAGACAGTGAAGGCACCCCTGCCCCACATGTGTGCAGGGGGAAGCAGCTGCAGTCACTGAGGGGTCCCAGGTCGCATGGAGCTGGCACAGGCTCCTCCTGCCCAGGGAGAGGGGACCTGCCTGCACCTCAGGAAACACCAAGGAGGGGTCTCCTTGAGCACAAAGGGCAAAAAGGGATGTAGGGTCAGCATCAAGGGCTGGTACTTAGTTCAGGCAGGGCCAGGCAGGAACAATGTTGTAGGCACTTGGGGACGGTGGGCATGCTGTTGGGAACCGCCCTGGCTGGTATCAGAAGCTGTAACCCCCACCTAGGCTCAGGCTAAGGGAACGCCCTTGGACCATAAGCCAGCCAGGAGACAAAAGCTTATCTCCCAGGCAGGAACGTTGCTTCTGCTGCTTCATTCATAACTGAACCCCAAAGCTTGGTCGGTTAGCCAAAGACGGGTAAGATTCCCCGAGGGGGGAACGATCTAAGACAGGCACGATCACGTGGGAGGCCCCCCAAAGAAGGACTTTGGGAGCTGCAACAAAAGGGGGTGATGGACCCTCGCTCCTCGGCTTTGACATAGCCTGAATTCTCATCGTCTGGGAGAAAATCTCCTCATCTCTTGGGTGCCTTACTTCCCTTGTTCTACCTAAGCCTGAAACAATGACAGAGTGGTGTAGCTCTGTGCTGAAAAGGGCGGATTCCCCGGGTGATCAGGCCTAAGAAAGAGCATGTAAATTACTGTGAAACCTGCTTTGTTTAGAATGCTCTCAGTTGAATGATAAGGGTCCAAGAAGGAAGTTAGTTTGTTCCTCAAAGTTTCACAGCTCTTTGATCCTGACTCAGAATAGACCCACAGAGTTCCTGGTTTTCTTTGGTTCCTTACTTCCTCGTAATGAGTACTGTACTTGAATTATTATGCAAAACGAGCCCAATAAAAGCAGGTTTGGACGGTAAGTCGGCGCTCCCCACTAGAGAGGGTGGCCATTCCGTCCCTGCTTCTCCACAGAAACTGGTCTGTCTCTGTGCATGTTTTTCTCGCATATCAACGAGCCATCAGCAGCGTTCCATGATCACTGCTGGCTGGTGACCCACGCATTAGGAAGCTGCAGCCAACCTTAGCCATGGGGCTGTGCAAGACATGGAATGATGCACAGAAGCTAGAACTGGGGTCCCACCAAGGGTTCAGAGCACCAGGGGCAGCCTCCTTGGAAGGTCCATCAGAGCAACTACAACATCAGACCGATGATGTCATAGCAAATGCTCCTATCAGCACATAGGGAGTACAGAACTGTAGACTGCTCACCCCAGGGGACACCACCCTGATCTGAGAAAGGTCCTGGGAAGCTGCCATGGGCCCCAGGCTCCTGTGCTGTGTGGCCCTTTGTCTCCTGGGAGCAGGTGAGCCCTGGACACTGTGTGTAAGTCTGGACACGCAGTCACATCCCGGACACACAAGCCCTGGGGGTGGTGGCTGCCTCGGCAGGGTCCCTGGGCTCTGCCCCCAGCTCCTCTGTGTCTCCTCCCACAGGCCCAGTGGACTCTGGAGTCACGCAGACCCCAAAACACCTGATCACAGCAAGAAAGCAGCAAGTGACGCTGAAGTGTTCCTATATCTCTGGACACGAATCTATGTTTTGGTACAAACAGGTTCAGGGAAAGGGCCCTGATTTACTGGTTGAGTATTACATTGGGCTAGCTCGAGGAAAAGGAAACATGCCTGATCGGTTCTCAGTGCAGCAGTTTGATGGCTACCGCTCTGAGCTGACCGCGAGCTCGCTGGAGCTGAGCGACTCGGCCCTGTATCTCTGCGCCAGCAGCCCTGACACAGCCCTGCAGGAGTGGCAGCCTCCTGCACAAAAACACTCCGCCCCACTCAGGAAGTGGCAGCTGCCAGCCAGACAGGCTCAGGCCTGAGAGAGCAGCTCACCTTCCCCAGACACTGTGTGCTGCTCCCCGATGGGGTGGGATTGGATGCTCACAGACATCCTGTAGCTTAGGGGTCATTGTCCTGTTTATACACATGATGGGAAGTCATGTTCCTGGGTCTCACATTCCGTAACCGGAGGACCAAAACATCACTGAAGTCTGCTCCTCAACATCTGTGTATCTGTCCCATCCACCTCTCCCAGAAGCATGTCCGCATCTGGCTTTCTTTTTCTGGGTTTATCTGCACAGCTCTGGGGAGATCTCACACCATCTGGGTTGTCATTTTCTTCCCTCACAACTTCAATAACATCTCACTTCATGGCAACAAATATCCATCAATCCTTCCTAATGACAACAAAGAAAGGCACAACTTCCTGCATTGTGGCCGTCACCTCGAGCTACACAAAGCCCTGAAGCAAGTTTTGGTTCATGTCAAGTGTGGGACTGTGAGTAGGTTCGCTACAGGTGTTTAAAGACTATTATTTTATAGTAGTGTCAGCAGTTCTTCACGGGGGATAGTCCCTGTGGAAAAAGGTCTCAATGTAGAGACAGTTTCACTCTCTCACCCTGGAGGCTGCGCCTGTGCCCACATCCCTCACACAGCTGTAACTGCCGGGGCCATGGGGGCACCTGCAGAGCCGAGCACCACGCAGAAACCCAGGTCCCGGGCCTGGGCTGGATGTGCTGGTGCTGCCTCACCCTGAAACGGAAATCAGGTTCTCAGGTGAATCTGAAGGTCCACTAGAGCATACGGTGGGGGCCCCATCGGTCAGGGGATGGAGAGAAAACAGAGCCAGAGGGTCTTCTAGGGCTTATGAGGCTGCCCCTGAGGTTTGGCCACCAGAGACCAGGAGGGCCCCTGTGGGAGGAGGGACAGTGAGCGGATGCTGGACGACCAGCAAAGTAAAGAGGAGGCTGAGGGCCGACTTGGGCCCCAGAGCCCTAAAGGCATCAGAACGCCCTCAGGGGTTGCCCTCAGGTGCAAGAGCACAGGGACGTGTACTCACAGCACACCGGGGTTGCATGAAGGTCTGTGGGCAGGAGGAAGCAGCCCTGAGTCACACACTGTGTGCACAGAGGGGGAGGGCGACTCTGGGACTCCTGGCAGCTCAGCCACACGCGTTCTTCTCCCTCTGAGCTGTGCCCCTGCCCGTCTGCTTCTGATCTGACGCTCTGGGGAAGGGGCGTGTCCCCGTGTGACCAGCTGGCGCTGGGGCCCAGGCAGCGGGAGTGACACCTCAGAGAGACTCCCTGGACAGCCCTGCTCCTGCCCAGCCTCCCACAGACCCAGAGGGACCCTGAGTCGGCCCGGCTGCTGCCATGAGCAGCGGCCTCCTGTGCTGCGTGGCCTTGTGTCTCCTCCGTGCAGGTGGGTCCTGGGCTGGGCCCCTCTGTGGGGACAGTGCCCAGGCCCAGCAGCGAGCCGCTCCCTGGAGGCTGCAGCATCTGTTCCCCTGTCCTCCCCACAGGTCTGGGGATGGCCGGCGTCACTCAGTCCCCGACATTCCAGGTGGTGACAACAGGACAGACGGTGACCTTGAGGTGTGCCCAGGACTTGAACCACAATGCTATGTACTGGTACCGACAGGACCTGGGTCACGGGCTGAGGCTGATCCATTACTCTGCGGGTATTGGGTTCACGGACGAAGGAGAGGTCCCCGATGGGTACAGCGTCTCTAGATCAGATATAAAGAACTTCCCCCTCACTCTGAAGTCGGCCACCCCCGCCCAGACATCTGTGTACTTCTGTGCCAGCAGTGATCCACAGTGCTGCACGGCCACCTCCTCTCTGCACAGAAAGTCAGGGGGAGGCCCAGCACCCGGACTCAGGGGATCTCTGTGCAGACTCCTACTGCTTGGAGCCCCCAGTGGCCCCTGCCTGCAGGGTGAGCCTGGAACGTGACAAGGTCCACCTCCAGGGCTGTGTCTGCCAGGCCTGACATGGACCCAGGGCCTCAGGCCCACACGCTTCCCCTGTTGCTTTCCCCCAGTGTGTCCTTCCCTGCAGCCTCCCCAGCCCTAGCTTTCTTGTTCTCAGCCTCAGTCTGTGCCTCCAGGGTGAAATGTCATCGAGGATCAGACCCAGCTAACCCTCCTCTATATCACCCACAGGGGTCTTAAAGGTCAGGGACATTGAGTCTTATTCCAGACAGAAGCTATAAGAAGTTGATTTTTGGATACATGGTGACTAGGAAGGACACGAGGCTTTGCTACGGGCTGTGTGGACATGATACCACGTGGAGGTTCATGAGCACAGGCAGGGCTTCGGTCCTGACCTGCAGAAGGAGGTGGAGCTCCCACTCTGATATTTCCCAGGACACTTCTCCATCTGTGAGTCTCTGAGTGTGTCAGTGTGTCCAGGGCAAAGCTGAGTCACCCCAACACCCCCCTTGCTAAGAAAGGGACAAGGTTGAGCACGTGTGACTGGGAGAGAGGAGGGGATGGTGACAGAACAGGGTGCTCCCAGGAGGTCCCAAATTGCAAAGAAGACAATGAAGTCAACCTTTGGTGTGTTGTATTGATGACACTGTTGACATGTGCTAGTGAAAATGCCAGTCAACCAGAGTGACATGTGAATCAGACTCAGTGTGACACCTTTGCATACAGACAGCACTGGAGCCCGTAGTGACAGCCGTGCATGCATTTTGTTGTAAAAGGAGCTTATAACTATTTCAGCTAGTCATCCAAGTGTGCTCCAATATACATCACGTGTCCCTGAGGTGGAGGGGCCTGACAGAGGCAGTGATGTCACCATGAGAACTGCCTTCTGGACATAAGACACATCCCTGCTCCTCTGCTCCTGCTCACAAAGACCTGACCTGGGGAACCTCCCACTCCTGACCTGACCCTGCCATGGGCACCAGGCTCCTCTGCTGGGCGACCCTCTGTCTGCTGGGGGCCGGTGAGTCCTCAGAAAACCAGGCCGCTTCAGTGTGTGTGTGCTTGACGATTACAGTTGTTTTCCTCCTTCTGTTGTCAACTTCTGTGTTCCAGGTCACACAGAGGCTGGAGTCTCCCAGTCCCCGAGGAACCAGGTTACCGAGAGGGGACAGAATGTGACATTTCGGTGTGATCCAATTTCTGGACACTCTTTTCTTTACTGGTACCAGTAGACATTGGGGCAGGGCCCAGAGTTGTTGGTGTACTTTCAAGGCGAGGCAGCCATGGACTCCTCCGGGATGCCTAAGGATCGCTTCTCTGCTGTGAGACCTGACGGCTCCTACTCGAATCTGAGCATCCAGCCTGCAGAGCCTGGGGACTCGGCCGTGTACCTCTGTGCCAGCACTGCAACCATAGTGTGTCACCGTCCCCAGCTCCCTGCTCACAAAACCTCTTGTGCTCCCCTCTGCTCATGGTTCCCAGGCTTCCTTGCAAAGGAGATGTCAACAGTGCTGCCGTACAAGTGGCCACTTGAGGGCGCTGTGGGTCCACAGAGTGAGATGCAGGTGGTGCCCTGAGGGAGTGGGAAGTTGAAGGGGGAGAGACTTGGCTTGGTTCCTCCATTAGGGAAATTATCGGATGAATCAAAGGTTTGCTGATCATATCTTTTCACATGAACAGATATGCAGGTGTCTGTCATAGCAGGGAGCCATGAAGTTCGTCTTACATTGAGTTACAGTCTCTCTTGGAGCCTAAGTTGGTGCAGAGTGTGATGGGGCTCCAGTGAGGCAGCCTGGAAAACCCAAGCCAGGTGTAGAGACAGGAGTCCTTGCTCTGAAGCTGTGGGGCTGGCCTCTGGCTCAGTACCGTGGGGGGCCCAGCTCAGCACAGCCAGCTGCACCTGCTCATAGGAAGATGGACAGAATAGGAACGCTGGACCACCAGATCATATTCTGGGGGTGAGGGCACCTGTGGTACCTCATTACAAAGTGACAGCAGACAGTGACATCACAAGGAAATCGTGAGGACAGAGCAAAGGGAGGCACAGACTCTGCTCTTTCAGCCAAAAGACAAGTACGCCTGAGTTAGGGTATAGGGCTGATTCCCTGCCAACTGCTAGGACATAGAGCTTCACACCAGAGGACGTGTGTCTGTCCTGTCATAGTTCCAGAGAAGTGAGGCCATGATATCCCCCTTAGAGAAGAGTTAAGTGACCTGGGGTATTTCCTGTCTATCCGGAGATTCTAGGAGGGAAACAGAAGCCATCTAGGAGTGTGAAGCAGCATTCTGGGAACTCATGCAGGGAATGCGTGTTTCTAAACCACTGCCAAGGGTAGAGGAGGATGAGAGGTCTCAGCCCGTCCTCAGCGCCACCACTTCTGGTTAGGAAATCTGAAATTGCTACATCTGCCCAGGGGAGGAGCTGCAGACAACAGCTGAGCATCAGGGACGTTGAAGGAAAGATGGAACCATACACGGCGTGCGGGGGAATCTATGGGGGAACACAGATAACTTCAATTCTACTTATTTTGTGTTTTAATTCAATACCTTATTTATTACCCTTTTGAAGCATTGTATTGTCATGCTATTACAGGTCGTAGTATTTCCTTTTTTCTCCCCTCCACCTAGCCAGCCTCCCACGACCGTAGCCAATCCCCACATCTCTGTCTGTGGGTCCCCCATTTCTGTTCCTTACTAACCCCTCCTCCTCTGTCAGTGAGTCTCCAGTTCTTCCCTCGCCTCCTCCAGCCGTCAGTCTGTGCCATGGCTCCATTCTACAGAGTCTGGCACTAATAAGGACACTTTTCATTTCCAAATCTTTTATTATCAAAGAAGAGCTCATCATTCTGTAGCATAACAACATCACACACTCAGTCACACCGAATGACATTTAGGTGAAAGGTTCAAATTAAAAGTATAGATGATTACACCCATATTGTTACCCTACCAACCACACTCAAGCAAACCTTAATTCTACTGGATCTTGTGTTTCACTCATTGGTTTATTTTATTTGTTAGACTCCCCTTAGAAGTGGGATCATATGGTATTTGTCTTTCACCAACTGCCCTATTTCTCTTAACATAATGCTTTCTAAATCCATCCATGCTGTTCCATAAGGGAAGAATGCCTTCATTTTTTTCTGTTGTGTACATTCCATTGTGTAGATGTACCACAGTTTTTATGCACTCATCTGCTGACAGACACTTAGGCTGTTTCCAGCTCTTGGCTACTGTCAATGGTGCCACTATGAACACAGAGGTGCATAAATCCTGCTAATTGGTGTTTGGGGATTCTCAGGGTACATTCCCAGTGGTGGAATCACCGGGTAAAAAGGCAGTTCCATTTTTAGTTGAGGAAATTCCATGGATGACCCATGCTACCACACAAAACATGGGCAATAGGAGGAAATTATTGCTCCTTTTCTGTGAGGTGGGCGTGCAACCTATATTAGTGGTAAAAACACTGATTGTTAGAGAGTTCAGAGGATTTTGAAATGGGCTTTAATGAAAAAAATATGGGTTCAGGTGTCCGTAGGTGCCCATAAAGTCTGTGACAAACCCCTCGTCCAGCACAATCACTGCTGGGTGCAGTGCCGGGGTCAAGGCAGGCACAGGTGCGTTGTCCCTGCCTCACGTCCGTTCCCGCACAGACTCCTCTGAAATGCAAGCAGTGACCTCTGGTAATCTGTTAGTGGAGTGGGCTATTGGACAAAGAGTTGCTTCTGGGGGAAATGGAATATGGGACCCACAACAGCACTTCCTGTCTGACGTGAAGTCTGACACACAAGAAGGTGTGTTGCTTCCAGAAGTTGTGGCTCCAGGGCGTTTGGTGATCACACAGCAGAGGGAGGGCAGAAAGGACAGTTTCATTTAGAGAGAGGCCATCGTGGTGGGGCCTCCAGTGCCCCCCATCACATCCTGGCCCTGCTCTGCTTTCAGCCTCAGCTGCAGTGGGCAGTTCCCTGCAAGACCGTGTCCATTTTCCTGGTACTGAGTGCACCCCAGCCCCAGTCCAGCAGGAGTCCCTCTGCTGTCTGCGCTGGTCTCCTCTCTGTCCCAGGAGCCCAGGAGGCCTGCTCCCTGGAGCAGCCAGAGCTGCAGAAGTGCTAACACTCCTGGGGTTTGGGGCCCATGGGCAGGGCAGGGGACAAACATTTTAGCCTCTGAGCTCAGGAGGAGAGATTGGGAGGCATCATGTGTGCTTCTCAGCAGGTGCTAACAAGTCCATCTCCCCATGTCCCAGCACAGAGGCAACACCCCACCTCATACTGGTCTCTCCTTCCCTGTTGCTTCCTCCCTGCTCCCTTATTTTTGCTTCCTGGGGTCATTTCCCAAATATGCCGCGTGCTCCTAAGACCTTCTCTGGTATTGCGACCCTGGGTGCAGCCTACACTGTGACAGGGATGGAGTGCAGTGACTGTCAGAAGTCCCCTCTCCCTGGAAGAGACCGCCATTTGTATTTCATTCATTCTGCCACCCATTCATTCAACAGTCTTATGAAAACAAAAAGTCTTACCACAACACCTATGAATGAATGTCCTCCCAGGGACTTTTGCTGTATTTTGGATTCCCAGCAGACTCACGTGGGTCTCTGCTCCCTTCACGCTCTGAACCTATTGGTCACTGACTAGACCGGGTCATGTTCACAGAAGACGCCTGTGCCTGGACTCAGGTAACCACTCACTCCTTTCATCTTTCTTCCAATGAGCCCTGGTGGAATCCAGGTACAGAGCAGGCAGGGCTTGGTGGGGATGAAAGCTGATAAAACGGTAGGGTGCTCTTTGAAAAAGAGAATAGAGAAACCTGGTAGAAATCTTGAAAAGACTTTGAAAATCAGAAAGCCTGAAATCATCCTTCATTCCTGTGCCGTCAATCAGGAGGTTACAGTTCCGAATGTTGAGGACCGTTTAAAGGATAGTGCTTCTGGAATCTTCTGCCTGTACACCAAGGAGACAGTCCCAGCATCCCTTGGGCCATGGGAGAAGACACAGTAATGAGATGTCAGTTACTGGCCACCAGATGGCGCTGTGACGCCACTGACCTGGAAGGGGCTCTGGGGAGAGTCTGGGAGAGCAGGAAAGGGTTAAGAAGACCTGGGCAGGGACCCAACACAATGCAGATGCTGAGGGAGGCTTCAGTTGTGGGCAGTCTCCCTAGAGCTGTGGAGTGGGTGGGAGGTCCCACCTAATGTTAAAAGACCCACTGTTGAAGGATTTGGTCAAGGCAGCCTTGCTGGCAGGGGCAGGTGCAGAGAGAGAATTAACAGTCCCCTAGCACTGTGGGAGACCAGGAGTGGCCCACAGGAGGAAAGTTAAGGGACCCCTGGCCCACATGTGTGCAGGGGGAAGCAGCTGGAGTCACTGAGGGGTCCTGACATGTAGGCAGCTGGCCGAGGCTCCTCCTGAACAGCAAGAGGGGACATGCCTGCACCTCAGGAAACACCAAGGAGGGGTCTCCCTGAGTCTTTAGGAGAAGAAGGAATGTAGGGGTCAGCATCAAGGACTGGTAATTAGTTCAGGCAGGGCCAGGCAGGGAGGACCTTGTAGGCACCTGGGGACAACGCTGAAGCTGCTGGCAACCCTCATCCACGGGCCTGTGCAGCACAGGGAGTGGTGAATAGAATCTGGACCCTGGGTCCCACCAAGAGTTCAGAGCACCAGGGGGCAGCCTCCTTGGGGAGTCCTATCAGAGCAGTGACAACATCAGACCAATGATGTCATAGCAAATGCTCCTATCAGCACACAGGGAGCACAGAACTGTAGACTGTTCACCCCAGGGGACCCCACCTTGAGCAGAGAAAGGTCCTGGGAAGCTGCCATGGGCCCCAGGCTCCTCTGCTGTGTGGCCCTTTGTCTCCTGGGAGCAGGTGAGCCCTGGACACTGTGTGTAAGTCTGGACACGCAGTCACATCCCTGACACACAAGGCTGGGGTTGTGGCTGCCTCAGCAGGGTCCCTGTGCCTTGTCCCCAGCTCCTCTGTGTCTCTTCCCAACAGGCCCAGTGGACTCTGGAGTCACGCAGACTCCAAAACACCTGATCACAGCAAGAAAACAGCAAGTGACACTGAAGTGTTCCTATATCTCTGGACACCTCTCTGTGTATTGGTACAAACAGGTTCAGGGTCAGGGCCCTGATTTCCTGGTTGAGTACTACAACGGGCAAGAGCGACAAAAAGGGAACCTGCCTGATCGGTTCTCTGTGAAGCCGCTGGATGGCTACCGCTCTGAGCTGGCCACGAGCTCGCTGGAGCTGAGCGACTCGGCCCTGTATCTCTGCGCCAGCAGCCCTGACACAGCCCTGCAGGAGTGGCAGCCTCCTGCACAAAAACACTCCACCCCACTCAGGAAGTGGCAGCTGCCAGCCAGACAGGCTCAGGCCTGAGAGCGCAGCTCACCTTCCCCAGGCACTGTCTGCTGTTTCCCGATGGGGTGGGATTGGATGCCCACAGACATCATGCAGCTTAGGTGTCATTGTCCTGTTTATACACCTGGTGGGAAGTCATGTTCCTGGGTCTGAGATTTCATAACCCAAGAGGCCAGAAATCGCTCAAGTCTGCTCAACACATATGGATGCACACGACTGCCCCACCCCTGCTCCCAGCACTGTGCCCACCTTGGCTTCCCTTTTCCAGGTTTAGGTGAATGGGCCTGGGGACATCACACACCATCTGGGATTGTCGACCTTTTCCCTGACAGCTTCAAGGAACATTTCACTTCAAGGCAGTGAATATGCATCCATGCTTCACGATGAAAGCAAAGAAAGGCACAATTTCTGTTCTTTTCTTTTTTTGAAGATTTTATTTACTTATTTTTAGAAGGGAGGAGAGGGAGAAAGAAGGAGAGAAGCATCATTGTGGTTGCCTGTTGTACACCCCCTACTGGAGACCTGGCCTGCAACCCAGGCATGTGCCCTAGTCTGGGAATTGGAATTGAACCAGCAACTGAGCAAGGCACAATTTCCTGCACTGTCCCCGTCACCTGGGCCTGCACAGAGTCTTGGAGGAAGTTAGGGTTCCTGAAAAGCATGGGACTGTGGGGAGATTAGCTGCAAGTATTTAAAGACCCGTTATTTTTATTATAATTAATGTCAGGAAACCTTCACATGGAGACATTCTGTGTGGAACAATGTCTCAATTTAAAAAGAGCATTTTTCACTCTCTATCCTTGGTGGCAGCCGCCTCTCCCCATATCCTTCTGTAACCCGAGGGGCCAGCAGGGCACCTGCAGAGCTGAGCACCCCACAGAGAGGAAGGTGTCTCCCTGGACTGGATGCGCTGGCCACTGCCTCACCCCGAACATGGGAAGCACGTTCTCAGGGCACTCTGAAAGTACTGGGGAGCACGAGGCAGGGGTCCCATCTGTCGGGGGATGGAGAGGAAACAGAGTCAAAGGATCCTCAAGTGGTGACAAGCCTGCCCCTGAGGTTTGGCCACCAGAGACCAGGAGGGCCCCTGTGGGGGGAGGGACAGTGAGCGGAGGCTGGACGACCAGCAAAGTAAACAGGAGGCTGAGGGACGACTTGGGCCCCCGAGCCCTAAAGGCATCAGAATGCCCTCAGGGTTGCCCTCAGGTGCAAGAGCACAGGGACGTGTACTCACAGCAGACCAGGGCGGCAGGAAGGTCTGCGGGCAGCAGAAAGCACCCCTGAGTCACACACTGTGTGCACAGAGGGTGACAATGACTTTCGGACTCGAGTCAGTTTGGCCACAAGCGTTCTTCTCACTGAGCTATTCCCCTGCCCGTCTGCTTCTGATCTGACGCTCTGGGGAAGGGGCGTGTCCCCATGTGACCAGCTGGCGCTGGGGCCCAGGCAGCGGGAGTGACACCTCAGAGAGACTCCCTGGACAGCCCTGCTCCTTCCCAGCCACCCACAGACCCAGAGGGACCCTGAGTCAGCCCGGATCGTACCATGAGCGGCGGCCTCCTGTGCTGTGTGGCCTTGTGTGTCCTCCGTGCAGGTGGGTCCTGGGCTGGGCCCCTCTGTGGGGACAGTGCCCAGGCCCAGCAGCGAGCCGCTCCCTGGAGGCTGCAGCATCTGTTCTCCTGTCTTCCCCGCAGGTCTGGGGATGGCTGGCGTCACTCAGTCCCCGACATTCCAGGTCGTGACAACAGGACAGATGGTGACCTTGAGTTGTGCCCAGGACTTGAACCATAACAACATGTACTGGTACCGACAGGACCTGGGTCACGGGCTGAGGCTGCTCCATTACTCAGTGGGTGCTGGGATCACTGAGAAAGGAGATGTCCCTGATGGGTACAGCGTCTCTAGACCAGATATAAAGAACTTCCCCCTCACGCTGCAGTCGGCCACCCCCGCCCAGACATCTGTGTACTTCTGTGCCAGCAGTGAACCCACAGTGCTGCACGGCCGCCTCCTCTCTGCACAGAAAGTCAGGGGGAGGCCCCGCACCCAGACTCAGGGGAGCCCTGTGCGGACTCCGACACCTTAGAGCCCCCAGTGACCCCCGCCTGCAGGGTGACACTCTGTGTGTGCTGAGGTTGCCCTCTAGGGCAGTGTCGGCCAGGCTGGGACCAAAGCCTGGGCCTGGGACACACAGTTGTCCCCCTGTGATGGCTGTCTGTCTGTCTGTCCTCTGCAGCTGGTTCATTGGCTGGGACGGTGCTTCCCCAGCTCTTGCTTGTCTTGTCACCAGCCTGAGTCAGAGGCCATCAGGGTGGGTGGTCATCAGTAACCAGACACATCTGTGCCCACTTGTGTATCATACACACATGTCTGACAGGTCAGTCACAGGTGGTCTCCTCGAAATAACCTTTGAGCAATCTGATTTCAAATGCATGGTGACTCAGAAGGACAAAGGCTTTTCTGTGGGCTGTGGAGACATGAGAGCACATGGAAGTCAGGGAGCACAGAGGGGCATTTGGTCGAGAGCTGCAGAAGGAGTAGGAGCTTCCTACTGAGGTGTTCCCAGGGCGTCGCTCCATCTGTGAGTCTCTGAGTGTGTCAGTGCGTCCAGGGCAAAGCCGAGTCACCCCGATGCCCACCCTCGCCTAAGAAAGGGAGGAGGTCGAGCACGTGTGACCGGGAGAGTGGAGGGGGTGGTGACAGGACAGGGTGCTCCCAGGAGATCCTGAATTGCAGAGAGGGTGATGAATTCACCCTTTGGTGTGCTGTACTGATGACACTGTTGGCATGTCCTAGTGAAACGGCCAGCTGAGGCGTCAGAAGGAGAAGAGGAAGAGGAAGAAATTGAAAACTTATTTGAAAAAGTCATGAAGGGAAACCCCAATCTGGCAAAGGAAATAGACTTCCAAGATGTCCAGGAAGCTCAGAGAGTCTCAAAGAAATTGGGCCCAAGGAGCACACACCAAGGCACATCATAACTAAGTTACCCGAGAGTAAAGATAAGCAGAGAATGTTAAAAGCAGCAAGAGGAAAGGAAGAGTTGCTTACAAAGGAGTTCCCTTTAGACTATCAGCTGATTTATGAAAAGAAACCTTGAAGACAAGAAGGGCTGGAAAGAAGTAGTTGAAGTCATGCAAGGCAAAGACCTATATCCAAGATGATTCTACTCAGCAAAGCTATCATTTAGAATGGAAAGGCAGAGAAAGTGCTTCCCAAATAAGGTCAAGTTAAAGGAGTTCATCAACACCAAACCCTTATTATGTAAAAAGATAAAAGTACTTATGTAAGAAATAGAGGAAGATCAAAAACCAAGAACAGTAAAATGACAAGAAACTCACAACTATCAACAACTGAACCTAAAAAAAAAACAAAACCAAAGGCTAAGCATACAATAAGACAGGAAGAGAATCACACAAATGGAGATCACCTGGAGTGTTATCAGTGGGGAGGATGAGGGAGGAGAATGGGGGTAAAGGTACAGGGAATGAGAAGCACAATTGGTAGGTACAAAATAGAGAGGGGGAGGTTAAAAATTGTATAGGAAACAGGGAAGCCAAAGAACTTCTGTGTACAACCCATGGACATCAACTAAGGGGTGGGGGGAATGTTGGAGGGTGAGAGGGTGCAGGGAAGATGAGGAGAAAGTAGAGGAAAAATATCAGGACAACTGTAATAGCACAATTAGTAAAATATACTTTTAAAATAAATGAAGATATCTACACACATTCTCCTTTATGAAAATTTTAAAAATCCCGTTCATCAAAAGATATTAAGAACATTCAACTATATAACTGAAAAGAGCATGTATTCAAAATATAAACAATTCCTAGAAGTCAATAATTAAAGAAGACAAATCAATTAAAAAAAAAGTTGAACATGGTGCTCTAAAAAAAAAGTGACATGTAAGTAGACCATTTCTTAGTTCCTTCTGCACAGAGGGTTTCTTTCAGTGCTGAGGAGATGTTTTGGCTGACGGGAGCCCAGCGTAGACCCTCCCCAGGAATCGCTGGGTGAAGACAGAGCGTTGCTGAGGGTCCTGCCTTCCCTTCCCTGGGCAGCTGCGTGCATGGCGTCCTCTTTCCATGATCACTCACTGATCAGGTTGATAACTTTAATTCCTGTTTGGAGAAGGCATCACACCTCCTGCACCACCACAAGCAAAGGGTGAGCCTGAGAAAGGTAAACAAGAAAGTAGCAGGAGCTGAGCAGAGTCCTAGGGGATCCCTGATGACTAATTTAGAGAGAACCCAGCCAGCTCCAGCAGGGTCAATAGCCCTGCTGCACAAGTGGCCACTTGAGGGCGCTGTGGATCCACAGAGCAATATGCTGATGGCAACCTGTGGGAGAGGGCGGGTTCATGGGAAGAATGTTGACTGGTTCCTGCAAGAAGGAGATTATCTGATGAATCTGAGGTTCATTGATCTTATCTTCTCACATTAACTGACAAGCAGGTGGGTATGTTTTAGTAGGGAGCCATGAAGTAGGCCTTGCAGGGAGTTAAGTTTCTCCTGGATCCTGTGTTTGCTGGAGAGTGTGCTGGGGCTTCAGGGAGGAGCCTGGGTAACCTGAGCCAGGGTAGAGCAAGGAGCACCTGCTCAAGGCAGAGACAACCTGTGCTGATGGCCACCTGCCCTGTACCTTCATGGCCCAACTCAGCACAGCCAGCTGCACCTGCTCGTAGGTGATGGACAACCTCAGGAAATGCAGGAACAGCTGAGCCTGTCCTGGAGGAGTGGGTGCCCACGAGATGCTACAAAGACAATGACATCAGAACAGTGACGTCACAGGCAAGCCCTCCAAAGAGAACAAAGGGAGGGAGGGACAAGCCTGTGCTCTCTCACCCCAAAGACCAGAGCCCTGAGCAGAGACATGGACCAGTCTGGCCCTGCCTGAATCCTCCAGGTGTGCCCATCTCCTCTGTTGCATGGTCCTGTGTCTGCTGGGTGCAGGTGAGACTCAGCTCTGGTGGGATGTCCCTCCAACCCAGCATCCTTGACTGTTTCTGGAGTGTCCATCTGCCTCCTGGGCTGGTCTCAGCTCTTCTCCTTCCTCCACAGGGTTAGTGGCTGCTGGAGTCACCCAGTCCCCGAGACTCCTCATCAAAGGCCGTGGTGGGGAGGCCGTTCTGAAATGCCACCCCATCCCTGGACACAAGAGTGTTTACTGGTACCAACAGGCTCGGGGGCAGGAACCCAAGTTTCTCATTCAGTATTATGAACAGCAGGAGTACGACAAAGAAAATTTCCCCCACCGCTTCAAAGGAAAGCAGTTCAGAGACTACAGCTCCGAGCTGGCCATGCACACCTTGCAGCTGGAGGACTCGGCCGTGTACCTCTGTGCCAGCAGCGTAGACACAGCCCTGCAGGGCCCATGCCTTTCTGTACCCAAACCGTCCTGTCCCAGCTGTAGTCACAGGCAGAGGGAGGGGACCTCAGCCCAGTTCCACAGATAGTTTTCATCGTTTTCTGCCATACCCCTTGCCCTGCTGAGCTCAGCTAGAGCCTTCCTGAATGTTCTCTCAGCTCTGCCACCAGTGTGCAATTCCCAGCACATGGCAGGAAGCCCTTCTCTGTGACAGAGTGGAGTTCACAATGTGTGTTGTGGTGCCTGGTCCTGGTGAACACCATGTATCCACATTACAGAGTAGGGAGCACTCAGCGCACCATTTCATCCACAGGGAGCTGAAGTTACTGGACCTTCCAAACGTCCCATGCACATGTATCCTTCATCTCCACGCCTCCGAAGTCAACAAGACCCTGGATTCCATCATCGTACCAGGTCCTTGGTCCATAGGGTAGAACAGAGCACAGTCTCTCCTGTTTCAAGAGCATCTGAGCTGGGATGGGGAGGTCACACCTCTAGGAGTGGGGTACATGGCTGATTGCCTCCCACCTTCAAGGACGTAGAGCTTCAAGGCAGAGCACATGTGTGTCCTGTCATAGTTCCAGACAGAGCAAGACCATGATATGCTCCTAACAGAGAAGCTAAGTGACCCGGGGAATTTCCAGTCCATCAGGGGGAAACAGAAGCCCTCTAGGAGTGTCAAGGAGCACCTTGGGAGCTCAGGCAGGCAATGCGTGTTTCTGAACTACCGGACAGGGTGGGGGATGGGGGTTTCTCAGCCTGTCCTCAGCTCCACCACTTCTGGTCAGGAAATCTCAACTTGCTACATCTGCCCAGGTGCGGAGCTGCAGACTACACCTGAGTGTCACATCGCCCTGGCCTGTGCTTTAGGACTCTATGTCCTTTCTCACTGCTGGGTGCTTGTTGTTGCCCATCAACATGACATCAGGATACACAGGCACAGATAGGGTAACATCACACTGAGGTGTGACCTGTGTAAGAGGTTGCAGGATGGGGACAGCTGGCTGAATATCCCATCCAGGTCACTGACGAGGCTCCTCTCTTTGTCACAGAAAGCACAGTCACGGGGCCATATGTATCTAGTCCCCCCGGGCCTCAGCTGGAACCAGGGGAGACTCTTACCCGTGAGCACGCAGAGACCTGAGCCCGGGTGTCCCGGATCCCACTAGTGGGTGACTAGTGAATCAATGTAAAGTAATTCTCAGATTCCAATGACCTTGACCCTGAGGTTGTGAGAACTCTTCCTTAGTTCCTTTAAGGAAGAGGATCCCTGTGGGCTGACATTGAAATTATCCAGAATGTATGCAAAGAGAAACACTAGTCGTCAGAATTTGAAGGTATATTAAAAGCAGAGGAATCTATCGAAGCACTAAAAATATTATTAAAAATTGTACCTACATTCAGGTGAGGAATCCTATTACTATGAGTAGAGGCACAAATTCCCTTACCCAAAAATTGGCAAAAAGACTGTACTACTTATTAGACTTCTCTGAAAACAGACTTACACATGTATCTGTTCTGCAGTGTTCTGCTTCCTCTGTGTCACTGGTGTGTTCCTGTGGGGGAGGGTGTGTCAAGGACGGAGAGGTCCCTGAGTCACTGAGAGGCTGAGTTCTGTGTGCCCAAACAGAACTGGAAGACATGAGATTCTGTCCTGGACCTCAAATGGTCACCAGGGTCTGCTTCTGTGTGGCTCTTTGTCTTCTGCGGGCAGGTGAGTGCAGGTGGGCTTCCTGCCCTGGAATTCCCCAGACTTCATTAGAGGTTTTGTCTTATGGTGAAAACTCATACTTCGTCACCCTTTCTTACAGGATACCTGGATGCAGGAATCACCCAGAGTCCAAGGTACAAGGTCACAGGGACAGAAAAGAAGGTGACACTGAGTTGTCAACAGGCTGACCAGCATGAGTATATGTCCTGGTATCGACAAGACCTGGGTCACGGGCTAAGGCAGATATATTACTCAGTTGGTGTCGGGATCACAGACAAAGGAGAGGTCCATGATGGGTACAGTGTCACTAGATCAAAACAAGAAGACTTCCCCCTCACGCTGGAGTCGGCCACCCCCGCCCAGACATCTGTGTACTTCTGTGCCAGCAGTGAACCCACAGTGCTGCACGGCCGCCTCCTCTCTGCACAGAAAGTCAGGGGGAGGCCCAGCACCCGGACTCAGGGGATCTCTGTGCAGACTCCTACTGCTTGGAGCCCCCAGTGGCCCCTGCCTGCAGGGTGAGCCTGGAACGTGACAAGGTCCACCTCCAGGGCTATGTCTGCCAGGCCTGACATGGACCCAGGGCCTCAGGCCCACACGCTTCCCCTGTTGCTTTCCCCCAGTGTGTCCTTCCCTGCAGCCTCCCCAGCTCTAGCTTTCTTGTTCTCAGCCTGAGTCTCCTGCCTCCAGGGCAAATGTCATCAATAATCAGACCCAACTACCCTCCTGTATATCACCCACAGGGGTCCTAAACGTCAGGGATATTGAGTCTTATTCCAGACAGAAGCTATAAGAAGTTGATTTTTCAATACATGGTGACTAGGAAGGACACGAGTCTTTGCTACGGACTGTGTGGACGTAACACCACGTGGAGGTTCATGAGGACAGGCAGGGCTTCGGTCCTGACCTGCAGAAGGAAGAGGAGCTCCCACTCCGACATTTCCCAGGGCGTCGCTGCATCCGTGCATCTCTGAGTGTGTCAGTGTGTCCAGGGCAAAGCTGAGTCACCCCGACACCCTCCTTGCTAAGAAAGGGACAAGGTTGAGCATGTGTGACTGGGAGAGAGGAGGGGATGGTGACAGAATAGGGTGCAACCAGGAGGTCCCAAATTGCAAAGAAGATAATGGATTCACCCTTTGGTGTGTTGTACTGATGACACTGTTGACATGTCAGAGTGAAAATGCCAGCCGACCCGGAAGACAGGGGATAGGTGTCACGTGGGAACCCTGGGTCCAGCAGCAGGGAACCCCAAAGGGACAGCCATGCATGGGTTTTGTTTAAGAAGGAGTGTAGAACTACTTACACCAGTCACCCAAGTGTGCTCTCACATACATCATGCAACCCTGAGTTCAAGGGGCCTGAGAGAGGCAGTGATGTCACTATGGGAACAGCCCCGAGGTGACAAGACATGTTCCCTCCTCCTCTGCTCCTGCTCACAAGGACCTGACCCAGTGAACTTCCCACTCCTGACCTGACCCTGCCATGGGCACCAGGCTCCTCTGCTGGGCGACCCTCTGTCTGCTGGGGGCCGGTGAGTCCTCAGAAAACCAGGCAGCTTCAGTGTGTGTGTGTTTGACGATTACAGTTGTTTTCCTCCTTCTGTTGTCAACTTCTGTGTTCTAGGTCACACAGAGGCTGGAGTCTCCCAGTCCCCGAGGAACCAGGTCACCGAGAGGGGACAGAATGTGACATTTCGGTGTGATCCTATTCCTGGCCACTTTGGCCTTTATTGGTACCAACACGTGCCAGGGCAGGGCCCGAAGTTCTTGGTGTACTTCCGAGGCAAGGAACCTGTGGACACCTCCGGGATGCCTAAGGATCGGTTCTTCATTGTGAGACCTGACGGCTCCTCCTCCACTCTGAGCATCCAGCCTGCAGAGCCTGGGGATTCGGCCGTGTACCTCTGTGCCAGCACTGCAACCACAGTGTGGCACTGTCACCGCCTCCCTGCTCACAAACCCTCCTGTGCTCCCCTCTGCTCATGGTTCCCAGACTCCCTAGCAGGAGGTGTCAACAGCATTGCTGCAGAAGTGGCCACATGAGGGCGCTGTGGATCCGCAGAGTGTGATGCAATGGCACCATGAGGTAGAGGGAGGGTGAAGGGGGTGTGTCTTGGCTTGGTTTTTGCTTCAGGGAAATTATCAGATGAATCAGAGGTTTGCTGATCGTATCTTTCCACATTAACAGATAAGCATTTGTCTGTCACAGCAGGGAGAGAGGAACTGGTCTTCCATGGAGTTATGGCCTCTCTTGGAGCCTATGTTGGTGCAGAGTATGATGGGGCTCCAGTGAGAAGCCTGGAAAACCCAAGCCAGGTGTAGAGACAGGGGCCCTTGCTCTGAAGCTATGGGGCTGGCCTCTGGCTCAGTACCATGGTGGGGGCCAGCTCTGCACAGCCAGCTGCACCTGCTCATAGGAAGACGGACAGAGTAGGGGAACACTGGACCACACGGTCCTGTTCTCGGGGTGAGGGTATATGAGGAACCTTACTGGACAGTGACAGCAGAGAGTGACATCACAGGGAAATCCTGCAGACAGAGCAAAGGGAGGGACAAACTCCGCCCTCACACCCAAAGGACCAGTACCCCTGAGTTAGGGTACAGGGTTGATTCCCTGCGAATTCTGGGACATAGAGCTTCACGCCAGAGGACGTGTGTCTGTCCTGTCATAGTTCCAGACAGAGCGAGGCCATGATATCCCTTTAAGAGAGGAGCTAAGTGACCCGGGGAATTTCCAGTCCATCAGCAGATTCTAGGACGGAAACAGAAGTCCTCTAGGAGTGTCAAGGAGCATTCTGGGAGCTCATGCAGGGAATGCGTGTTTCTGAACTACCGGACAGGGTGGGGGATCGGGGTTTCTCAGCCTGTCCTCAGCTCCACCACTTGTGGTCAGGAAATCTCAACTGCTACATCTGCCCAGGTGCGGAGCTGCAGACTACACCTGAGTGTCACATGGCCCTGGCCTGTGATTTCTGACTCCGTGTCCTTTCTCACTGCTGGGTGCTTGTTGTTGCCCATCAGCATGATATCAAGATACGCAGTCACAGACAGGGTCACGTCACACTGAGGTGTGACCTGTGTAAGAGGTAGCAGCACTGGGACCACTGGCTGAATATCTCATCAGGACAAGGCTCCTCTCTTTGTCACAGAAAGCACAGTCATGGGGCCAAAGGTGTCTAGTCCCCCGGGGCCTCAGCTGGAACCAGGGGAGACTCTTACCCGTGAGCCTGCAGAGACCTGAGCCCGGGAGGCTGGGCTCCCACCAGTGGGTGAATCATGAAACAACAGAAAGTAATTCTCAGATTCCAATGGCCTCCAACCTGAAGCTTTGAAAATGCCATGGGTATCAGTTTGTTCCTTTAAGGGAGAGGATCCCTGTGGGCTGACATTGAAATTACCCAGAGTTTATGCAAAGAGAAAAGCGAGAATAATGTATCTGAAGTGAAATTTGATCAGAGAAGTCACCACCAAAGTATGAGAATTGCTATGGGAACATTTCCTAGTCTACAGTAATAGGACGAAAAATTGTACAGGTAAGGAATTGTATCATTATGCATAGAAAAACGAATTTCCTTACCAAAAGTCAGGGGAAAGCATACGTACTGCTAAGATTTCTTTAAAAAGTGGCTTACACATTTTTCCCATGCTGCACTGCTCAACTGTCTCTGTGTCACTGGGTTGTTCCTGTGGGGGAGGGGAAGGCAGGTGAGCTCTGTAGCTGAGGCATCTGTGAAGGACAGTGATGTCCCTGAGTCCCTGAGAGGCTGACTTGTGTTTCCCCAGACAGAACTGGAAGAGGTGACATTCTGCGCTGGACCTGAGATGGTCACCAGGGTCTGCTTCTGTGTGGCTCTTTGTCTCCTGTGGGCAGGTGGGTGCAGGTGGGCTTCCTGCCCTGGGATTCCCAGCATTCAGTCCCAGGCTTGGTCATAGAGTGACAACATAAGGGTCTGTCACTTTCTCTACAGGACACTTGGATGCAGGAGTCACTCAGAGTCCAAGGTACAAGGTCACAAGGACAGGAAAGAAGGTGACACTGAAGTGTCACCAGACTAATAACCATAATGCTATGTCCTGGCATCGACAAAACTTGGGCCATGGGCTGAGGCAGATATACTACTCAGGGGGTGTTGGGATCTCCAGCAAAGGAGAGGATGCCGATGGGTACAGTGCGTCTAGAGTGAACATGGAGGACTTCCTGCTCACGCTGGAGTCGGCCACCCCCTCCCAGACATCTGTGTACTTCTGTGCCAGCAGAGACGTGCTGATCCACAGCGCTGCACGACCACCCTCTCTCTGCACAGAAAGGAAGGTTGAGGCCCTGCACTCGGGATTCATGGGACCCCTGATTAAACTCCTACACTTTAGAGCCCTGAGACACCCTGCCTGCAGGGGGACCCTCAGTGTGTGATGAGGTCCCCCTCTAGGTTAGTGTCTACCAGGCCTGGTCTATGTCCAGGGCCTCAGACACACAGTCTGCACTGCTGTTGTCTGTCAGTCTGTCCTGCCAGGTGCACTGTTAGCTGGGAAGGTGTTTCCTCTTTCTAGCTTTTCTTGTCATCAGCCTGAGTGTGATGCCTCCAGGGTGGGGAGTCATGAACAGCATATGCACGTAGATCCCCGTGAGTATCACCTGCAGGTGTGTTAAAGGTGCAGGACATCGAGTCTTCCTCCAGACGGAAGGTATAAGAAACGTGGTTTTTAGTGCTGGTGACTAAGGAGGACACGGGGCTTTGCTGTGGGCAGGGGAGACACCTAATAGTACGTGGAGGTTGATGAGCACAGAGATGGCACTAGGTCGAGCCCTGCAGAAGGAGTGGGAGCTTCCCAACTCAGATATTTCCCTGGGCATCACTCCAGGTGTCTCCAAGCAAGCGGGCCCAGGGAGTGGCCCTCAGGTGTGATCCCATTTCTGGACACTTGACATTTATATGTGCTGACAGGTCCTGGGACAGGGCCCAGAGTTTCTGATGGACTTTCAACTCCGGGATCCCCAGACTCCTGCGGGATGCCTAGGACCTGTTCTCTGCTCAGAGACCAGGGGGCTCCACTGCACTCTGAGGATCCAGCCTGCAGAGCTGGGGGACTCGGCCGTGTCCCTCTGTGCCAGCAGCTCCAGCACAGGGTGGCCTTGTCACCCCTTCATGGGCACATACCCTCATCCTTCTCCCTCCATGCGGCTCCCCCACTCTAAGCAGCCCTTCTTTGCTCAGCATTCCCCAGTGACAATGCAGTTCTGGGCATCAGCTGTGCTTTGGGAAGAGAGAACAAAGCCCTGCCTGGTGAGTCTCAGTTGGCTGGGCCTGGTACTGCCACCCAAAGCCTTGCTGGTTCGATTCCCGGTCAGGGCACATGTCTGGATTGCAGAACTGGTACCCTGTTGAGGCACATACAAGAGGTATTTTATGCATATTTGTCTCCCACATCAATGTTTCTCTCCTCTTTCCCATTCCCTCTCATCTCTAGGGAAGTAAATAAGTAACATAATTAAGTAATGAGGATTCCCAGAGCCAGCTCAGTGCTCCAAGACACACACTGAACCTCATGGACACAAACAGTCTTTGGTAAAACTGTGGGTCTCGGCCCCCAACACAGCTCCGCTGTGGGTGGGAAGCTTGCCTGCTCCTCACGGCTTGTCCGCATCTGGAATGCTGGTGACACCCTCTTCCTGCGCACCCTTCTCTGAGCCACCCTATCACCTTGGGGGCTTTCTGCAGCAACTTGTCAAATGTTCCTTCCTGTTGGGAGTGAAGGTCTTCACCGCTTTTGTGCCCGTTGACTGAGAATCGCCATAGTGATGCCTGAACGGCGTCATGTCCTCTGCCAGGCTGCAGGAGCCCACACTCTATTGTGTTTTCATTTTCCCGCCGCTCCATCCTGAGTGTCAGGCTGCAGCGTGCGTCCACGACCTCTCGGTTTCATCTTGACCCCATGGGTAACCCTTTCTAGAGATGAGGGTTTTTCTTGGTGTCCTCGCATTTGGACTTGAAGTCATTTCCCTGAATTCTTTTAACTCAATGGTGTGACATTTTCTAGATAATATGCCTTACTTCATTTTAATTATTTTATGTGTTATTTTGGGATATATTATCTGCTGCAAATATAAATAATCGAGCCCCTGTCTGTGGGGGCAGCTGTAGGTTTCTGGCAAATCCCCACTCATGGGCAGAGGGGACAGGCCTTCGGATCATGGGTGTCCGGGAGTCCTCAGTTCTGAGGTGGGACTGGAGGTCACAGACTCAGTCCTGATCCAGGAGCCTGACCTTGCACAGCAGGTAAGGACAGTAAGTGTCTCTGAAAACCCACCTCAACACTGTGGTAGCCATGACACCAGATCTGCTCACCCAGGAACGAGAGTCCTTGGGGCGGAGATTTCCTGGTCGTGTGTGGACTGTGCTCAGGCCCCTGGGCCTCCTGGGAGGGAGGGAGGCCTGGGCTCCCAGGGCAGCTCCCTGTCCTCGGGAAGCCATCAGGGACCCCTTCCCGGACTGTGTCCCCATTTATGCCACTGCCCAGCACCTGACCCTGGCCGCTCTGCTTCCTTAGGACACTGTTTTGTACCAGTGTTCGCTTGTCTCCCACAGCGCCGCCGCTTCCCCCAAAACCAGCTCCGTGCTCACAGAGCAGGTGCCCACTGTGCGGCTGCTCCTCCCGTGTGGGCTGTGCGTGGGGTTCTCAGTCCCCGCGTCCACAGCTCCCCATTGGGTGTCTTTTCTCCACGACTGATCCCCAACCGTGTGTGTTATATATCACTTGTGTTTCAATTTTAACATTTATTCTCACACATTTGCCTCCATCTTGAAGGTAATATCATTATCTTCCCAGTCTTTTGCTTATCTACATTTTGGAGGTAACTCAAAACACCTGTTTTCTTTTTTGCATTGTGTTTATTTTCAGCAATGGAGATAAAAGAAATGCTTTAACCTTCAACTTGTGTGTTTTCCTTCCTACTTAGACTAGACAGTATTTCCTCCCACTCCCCTTCTCTCCCTCTGCCTTTCAGAAGACAATGTGAAGGAAGCCGATCCCAGACTGCAGCTGCAGATGACGTGCTAGTGCTCCAGGGGGACAGGGGTGGGGTATTAAGCCTGGAACCTGAAAGAAATACGATCACAGTAGGTATTCTAGTTGGGATTAGGGTTCAGGATGTTGAGATACCTTATAAAGGATAGTGCTTCTGGAATCTTCTGCCTCTAGACCAGGCAGACTTGCCCACCATCCCTTGGGCCATGGGAGAAGACACGGTAATGAGATGTCAGTTACTGGCCACCAGATGGCGCTGTGACACCACTGACCTGGAAGGGGCTCTGGGGAGAGTCTGGGAGAGCAGGAAAGGGTTAAGAAGACCTGGGCAGGGACCCAACACAGGGCAGATGCTGAGGAAGGTTTCAGTTGTGGGCAGTCTCCCTACAGCTGTGGAATGGGCGGGAGGTCCCGCTAAACGTTAAAAGACCCACTGTTGGTGGACTTGGTCAAGGCAGCCTTGCTGGCAGGGGCAGGTGCAGAGAGAGAATTAACAGTCCCCTAGCACTGTGAGACCAGGAGTGGCCCACAGGAGGGAAGTTAAGGGACCCCTGGCCCACATGTCTGCAGGGGGAAGCAGCTGGAGTCACTGAGGGGTCCTGACATGTGTGCAGCTGGCACAGGCTCCTCCTGCCCATCAAGAGGGGACATGCCTGCACCTCAGGAGACACCAAGGAGGGGTCTACATCCCAAGATGGGAAGTAGAGTCAGCAACAAGGGCTCGTAATTAGGTCAGGCAGGGCCAGGTAGGGACAATATTGTAGGCACCTGGCGATAGTGCTGAAGCTGCAGGCAACCCTCAGCCATGGGGCTGTTCAGCACAGGGAGTGGTGAATAGATTCTGGACCCTGGGTCCTACCGAGAGTACAGAGCACCAGGGGGCAGCCTCCTTGGAGAGTCCCATCAGAGCAACTACAACATCAGAGCAGTGACGTCATAGCAAACGCTCCTATCAGGACACAGGGAGCACAGAACTGTAGACCGCTCACCCCAGGGGACCCCGCCCAGACCTGGGAGAAGTCCTGGGAAGCTGCCATGGGCCCCAGGCTCCTGTGCTGTGTGGCCCTTTGTCTCCTGGGAGCAGGTGAGCCCTGGACACTGTGTGTCAGTCTGGACACGCAGTCACATCCCTGACACACAAGCCTGGGGTGGTGGCTGCCTCGGGAGGCTCCCTGTGCTCTGCCCCCAGCTCCTCTGTGTCTCCTCCCAACAGGCCCAGTGGACTCTGGAGTCACGCAGACCCCAAAACACCTGATCACAGCAAGAAAACAGCAAGTGACGCTGAAGTGTTCCTATATCTCTGGACACCTGTCTGTGTATTGGTACAAACAGGTTCACGGACAGGGTCCCGATTTCCTCATTCAGTACTACAATGGGCAAGAACGACAAAAAGGGAACATTCCCGATAGATTCTCAATGAAGCAGTTTGGCAATTATAGCTCTGAGCTGACCGCAAGCTCGCTGGAGCTGAGCGACTCGGCCCTGTATCTCTGCGCCAGCAGCCGTGACACAGCCCTGCAGGAGCGGCAGCCCCCTGCACAAAAACACTCCGCCCCACTCAGGAAGTGGCAGCTGCCAGCCAGACGGGCTCAGGCCTTCCCCAGACACCGTTCTGCTGCTTACAGATGGGGTAGGTTGTAATGCCCCCAGACATCGTGCAGCTTAAATATCCTTGTTCCTGTTTATATACGTGGTGGGAAGTAACATTTCTGGGACTCACATTTCATAAGCAGAGGAGCAAGGAAACACTGAAGTCTGTTCCTCAACACCTGTGGTTTGCCCCTCTGCCCGCTGCTCCCAGTGCTGTGCCCACGTGGCTTTCATCTTCCAGGTTTAGGTGAGCAGGCCTAGGGGGAGGAAGGACCATCAGGGATTGTCACCTCTTCCCTGACAGCTTGTAAGTATTTAAACGAGTCACCCAAGTGTGCCCATGTACATCACATGTCCCTGAGGTCAAGGGGCCTGAGAGAGGCAGTGATGTCACTGTGGGAGCTGCCCTGTGGGGACGAGGGACGTCCCTCCTCCTCTGCTCCTGCTCACAAGGAACCTGACCTGGGGAACCTCCCACTCCTGACCTGACCCTGCCATGGGCACCAGGCTCCTCTGCTGGGCGACCCTCTCTCTGCTGGGGGCCAGTGAGTCCTCAGAAAACCAAGTAGTTTTAGTGCGTGTGTGTGTGTGTGTGTGTGCGTGAGAGAGAGAGATGATTACATTTGTTTTCCTCATTCTGTTGTCAACCTCTGTGTCCCCAGGTCATACAGAAGCTGGAGTCTCCCAGTCCCCCAGTTACAAGGTCACCAAGAGGGGACAGAATGTGACCTTTCGGTGTGATCCTATTTCTGGCCATGTTGTCCTTTACTGGTACCGACACGTGCCAGGGCAGGGCCCGAAGTTCTTAGTGTACTTTCAAAACAAGGAACCTGTGGACACCTCCGGGATGCCTAAGGATCGGTTCTTCATTGTGAGACCTGACGGCTCCTACTCCAATCTGACCATCCAGCCTGCAGAGCCTGGGGACTCGGCCGTGTACCTCTGTGCCAGCACTGCAACCACAGTGTGGCACTGTCACCGCCTCCCTGCTCACAAACCCTCCTGTGGTCCCCTCTGCTCATGGTTCCCAGGCTTCCTTGCAAGGGAGGTGTCAACAGCGCTGCTGCATAAGTGGCCACATGAGGGCGCTGTGGATCCATGGAGTGAGATGCAGATGGTGCCCTGTGGGAGAGGGAGGATTCATGGGAAGAATCTTGGGTTGATTCCTGCATCAAGGAGATTATCTGATGAATCAGAGGCTCACTGATCTTATCTTCTCACATTAACAGATATGTCGGTGTGTATGTTATAGCAGGGAGCCATGAACTTGGCCTTACATGGAGTTAAATTTCTCCTGGAGACCATGTTTGGTGGAGAGTGTGATGGGGCTTCAGGGAGGAGCCTGGGTAACCTGAGCCAGTGTAGAGCAAGGAGCACCTGCTCAAGGCAAAGACAACCTGTGCTGATGGCCACCTGCCCTGTACCCTCGGGGTCCAACTCAGCACAGCTAGCTGCACCTGCTCATAGGAAAATGGACAGATTCAGGTAGAATAGGACTAGCTGAGCTTGTCCTGGGGTGTGAGTACCCATGGGTGCCTACAAAGACAGTGACATCAGAACAGTGACGTCACAAGCAAGTCCTCCAAAGGGAGCAAAGAGAGGGACAAAACTGCATTCTCAACCAAAGGACCAGAGCCCTGAGCAGAGACATGGCCTGGCTGGTCCTTCCTAAATCTTCCAGGGGCACCCAGCTCCTCTCTTGCATGGCCCTGTGTCTGCTGGGTGCAGGTGAGTCTTAGCTCAGGTGGGACATCGCTGCAACTCAACATCCTTCGCTGTTCCTGGAGTGTCCATTTGCCTCCTGGGCTGGTCTCAGCTCCGTCTCCTTCCTCCACAGGGTCAGTGGCTGCTGGAGTCACCCAGTCCCCAAGACACCTCATCAAAGGCCGCAGTGGGGAGGCTGTTCTGAACTGCCACCCCATCTCCGGACACAAGAGTGTGTACTGGTACCAACAGGCTCAAGGGCAGGGACCTAGGTTTCTCATTCAGTATTATGAAAAGCAGGAGTACATGAAAGGAGACATCCCAGATCACTTCTCAGTAAAAGTATTCAGTGACTACAGCTCCGAGCTGACCATGCGCACCTTGCAGGTGGAAGACTCGGCCGTGTACCTCTGTGCCAGCAGCGTAGACACACAGCCCTGCAGGGCCCATGCCTTTCTGTACCCAAACCCTCCTGTCCCAGCTGATGTCACAGGCAGAGGGAGAGGGCCTCAGCTGAGTTTCACTGTTGGTTTTTGTTTCCTTTCTAACTCTCTCCCTGCCCTGCTGAGCTCAGTTAGAGCCTTCTTGAATGTTTTCCCAGCTCTGCCAGCAGTGTGCAATTCCCAGCACATGGCAGGAAGCCCTCTTCTGTGACAGAGTGGAGTCCACACTGTGTGTTGTGGTGCCCAGTCCTGGTGAACACCGTGTGTCCACTTTGCAGAGGGGGGAGCACTCAGTGCACCATTTCCTAGACAGGGAGCTGCAGCTGCTGGACCTTCCAAACGTCCCATGCACGTGCATCCTCCATCTCCACGCCTCTGAAGTCAACAAGCGCCTGGATTCCATGGTCCTGCCTGGGCCTTGGTCCATGGGATAGAACAGAGCATAGTATCTTCCATTTCAAGACCCTCTAATCTGGGATGGGAGGTCACCTCTCAGATGTAGGGTACATGGCTGATTGCCTGCCAACTGCTAAGGACATAGAGCTTCAAGCCAGAGGACGTGTGTCTGTTGTGTCATAGTTCCAGACAGAGCAAGACCATGATATGCTCCTATGAGAGGAGCTAAGTCACCTGGGGAAATTCCAGTCCATCAGGAGATCCTAGGAGGGAAACAGAAGCCTTCCAGGAACGTCAAGGAGCACTCTGGGAGCTCATGTGGGGAATGCGTGCTTCTGAACTACCGGACAGGGTGGCGAATGGGGGTTTCTCAGCCTGTCCTCAGCTTTACCACTTCTGGTCAGGAAATCTCAACTTGCCCCATGTGCCCAGGTGAGGAGCTGCAGACAACACCTGAGTGTCACATCGCCCTGGCCTCTGATTTTTTACTCCATGTCCTTTCTCACTGCTGGGTGGTTGGTGTTGCCCATCAACGTGACATCAAAAGAGCAGTCACAGAAACAGGGTCATGTCACACTGAGGTATGACCTGTGTAAGAGGTAGCAGGACGGGGATCCCTGGCTAAATATCTGTCTATGTCACTAACTCTCTTTTTCACAGAAAGTGCAGTCACGGGGCCATAAGTATCTAGTCCCCCCGGGCCTCAGCTGGAACCAGGGGAGACTCTTACGCGTGAGCATGCAGAGACCTGAGCTCGGTGGCTGGGCTCCCACCAGTGGGTGGATCGTGAGACAACGTAAATCAAGTCTCAGATTCCAATGACCCTGACGCTGACACTGTGAAAACTTTCTGGGTATCAGTTAGTTCCTTTAACCAAGAGGATCCCTGTGGGCTGACATCGAAATTATCCAGAATATATGCAAAGAGAATCACTAGTAGACAGAATGTGAAGGTGTATTATCAGCAGAGAAATCTGCCAAAGCACCAAAAATGGTGTTAAAAATTGTAGCAGTATTCAAATAAGGAATTGTATCATTATGCATAGAGGCATGAATTTCATACCTGAAGGTGGGAAAAAAGAATGTGGGACTTACTAGATTTCTTTAAAAACAGACTTACACATTTTTCCCATGCTGCACTGCTCAGCTTTCTCTGTGTCACTGATTCGTTCCTGTGGGAGGGGTGAGGCAGCTTAGCTCTGTAGCTGAAGCATTTGTGAAGGTCAGTGATGTCCCCGAGTCCCTGAGAGGCCGAGTTCTATGTGCCCAACTGGAACTGGAAGACGTGAGATTCTGTCCTGGACCCGAAATGGTCACCAGGCTCTTCTTCTGCGCAGCTGTTTGCCTCCTGTGGGCAGGTGAGTGCAGGTGGGCTTCCTCCCCTGGAATTCCCAAGACTTCATCCCAAGCCTTCATCTTAGGATGACAACCTCACACTATGTCACTCTCTCTCACAGGACACCTGGATGCCGAAGTTACCCAGAGCCCAAGAAACAAGGTCACAGGGACAGGAAAGAAGGTGATACTGAGTTGCAACCAGACTTATGACCACAACTATATGTACTGGTATCGACAAGATCCGGGTCACGGGCTGAGGCTGATCCATTACTCCGCGGGTGTTGGGGTCATCGACAAAGGAGAGGTCCCTGATGGGTACAGTGTCTCTAGATCAAAACAAGAAGACTTCCCCCTCACGCTGGAGTCGGCCACCCCCTCCCAGACATCTGTGTACTTCTGTGCCAGCAGTGAACCCACAGTGCTGCACGGCCGCCTCCTCTCTGCACAGAAAGTGTCAGTAGAAATCCTGAGGCTGCGCTCTGATTCCTGGCCCAAACCCAAAGGAGTCCCTGCCAGTGTGGGGGCCTTATGGCACTGGGCATGACCCTCAGGGCCAAAGTCCTCCTCTGTACCAGTCTCAGCCTGACTGGAGACCAAGCACCCGAACACACTTAACTAGCTGGTTCTGCCTTCTGCAGTGCCCTCTCGCGCTCTCTCTCTCTCTCTCTCTCTCTCTCTCTCTTTCTCTTTTCCCGTTTGCAGAAAGGAAAATGCATCACAAGTTGAGCTGCATGAGGATTCTCCTGATAATCTTAAAGTCCCCACACTCTCCTAGGGGCTTCAGTGACTTCGTTTACGCTGGTCCCCACCCTCTATCCCCTTCAACTTATAGTCATAAATTTTCCTTCAGATGGATCTGCCGCTGGCTGCCTTTCTCCTCTGGGACAATAGCCCTACAAGGTCCTATAGTGTTTGCCCTTCACCTTGCCCTTGACCTCCACGGTCTTCTTGTACAAGTCTCCTCTGCTCTCCCTAGATTCATTCATCTGCATTCAGTTTCTCCCTCAGATGTGCCATCTCAGGGATCTGTTTTACAGATTATTTCTTCAGCATGGAACCTACGTCCCACCCTCTTATCTCTAGGTTTCCCCTTCATTCCTTACGTGACAATATATTTTAGGCATACTTACTCTCAAATGTGAAAAGGAAAACTTAGATTTTACTAGGAGAAGTGAAGGAAAGATATTCAGGCATTCATTTAAGGGGGAGTGTTTTTAGCAAAGACACAAAAGAGCACAAACATTTATAAAGCATATAAATACTTATAAAATCATGTAATATACAAATATTGACAAACATATTTATAATTTCAGTGGTGTTAAATTATATCCTTGTACATCAAAAGATACCACAAAACACACCATGAGACACAGAAGGGTAAGTTGCAGACTGGGAAGGGGCATGAGGAAGGGACACCATCCTCATGTGACAGACCCCTCGTGGTCACCACCTCCCCAGGCTGCTCTAGATCCCCAGCCTTGCTTGTAGGTGTAGGGACCACACACACACACACACACACACACATACAGGGAGAGAGAGAGAGAGAGAGAGAGAGAGAGGGAGATGTGAGAGAAAAACATCCATCCATTACCTCCCATTCACACCCCCACCATGGATCAAACCTGCAATCTAGGTATGGGTCCTGATTGGGAATCGAACCCACAACCTTTTAGTTCATAGAACGGCACTTGAACCAACTGAGCCATGTGGCCAAGGCAATTGCTCTCTTTTTAAAAAACCATGAAATTCACTTGTAAGTCATGTTAGAGGTGTAGGTTTTTTCACATTGCAGAAGGTCTATGCAATTCATATTGCCAATACTGTGTCCACTCTGGTATTTTCAGGGATCAGAGAGCTCTCCACCCTTTGCAGGTAAGATATACGACACCCTTCACCTGGGAGCCAGCAGCGCGGAGATGAAGGCTCCAGTTCGTTGTGCATCATGGAGGTTGGCGAAAGCCAAGAGGAAAGTGGTCTCCGACCTCTGGGCAGAATGAAAGCTCCCGACTTCAATCTGCGCCCCGGGCTTCATCTCATCTCTCCACCTTCAAGCGTGCCGTTGGTTCCCTGTGTTTCTAGGCTACAGTGGTGGGAATTACCGCAGCTTCCACTTTGTCTAAGCTCCTGTGACTGGGGGAATGGAGACCGCCATAAAAGAGAAACATCCAAGGAGACGGGCCATCACCGGTAACGCAGAGGTCATTAACCGATGGGCCTTGGCCACGTCCCAGCAGAAACATCCAGCAGAGGGTCAGAGGATGGTGATGGAGATGTAGAGGTGAGGTTGGGGGGGCCCAATCACTCGGGCCCTGGAGCAGTGAGCGGAGGCCGCTTGGATGAGCTTACACACAGTCTGCGAATATGCTAAACAAACTTGTAGGTATGTTTTAGTTTACAACCATTAGTTTTTAAGACGGAGCATTTGCGGAGACAGTGATGTCACTGTGGGGACTGCCCTGTGGGGACAAGAGACGTCCCTCCTCCTCGGCTCCTGCTCACAAGGAACCTGACCCGGTGAACCTCCCACTCCTGACCTGACTCTGCCATGGGCCTCAGGCTCCTCTGCTGGGTAACCCTCTGTCTGCTGGGGGCCGGTGAGTCCTTAGAACAGCAAGATCTCTGCATTTTATGTTTCCAGGGATCATTCCAATCATTTCCTACTTCCTTTGTCTTTTCCCTTCACAGAACTCACGGAAGGTGGCGTCACTCAGACTCCCAGACATAAGATCCTAGGAAAGAGTCAGGCGGCCACTTTGTGGTGTAATCCCATTTCGGACCACCAAACCCTTTACTGGTACCAGCAGTTCCAGGGACAGGGCCCAGGGCTTTTGGTCCGCTTTGAGAATGAAGAAGCAATGGATGATTCTCAGTTGTCTAAGGATCGATTTTCTGCACGGAGGCCCAAAGGAACAGACTCAACTCTCGAGATCCTGCGTGCAGAGCTGGGGGACTCGGCCGTGTATTTCTGCGCCAGCAGCTTAGCCACAGCGTCACAGAGACGCTTCCTTCCTGTGCACAAAACACCAGGCTTCCCCTCCCTCTGCTCCGCCCCCGGCAGCTCTGAACACAGGCCTCCCCTTGTTCCTCACGCACGGGAAAGAAGCAATCTAGAATTCGTGAGAAAGGAGGATGTGAATTATTTCTTGAAATATCAGGGCTGAAAATAATTACGACTCTGGGATTTGAAGCACTTTTTGGTGACAATTCAAGGATGCAAAACTGAAAGTGACTTATGTCTCACGGAGTCAGTCCTCAGGCACTAATGAGGAATCTTCTCTTACAAAAATTATGCAGTCACCAAAAGCGTACAATTCGCTGTAATAATAATACAGATGGTGATTCTGGGAGAGTGGCCAACAGCAGGCTCTCCCTTTGTGGGGGCTTTTACCCTCTAAATGATTTTAATTGATATCCTTTGCTTTCTAGGTTCCTCGCTGCCTTTCTTATCAAATTTTCTGCAGCCAAGTCTCAGTACATGGTATGTGTTTGGAAAACATTTTTTTCCATTTTGTGGAAATGTGCTGATAATAATGATGTTGTTGATGATGGCGATGGTTTCAGCTATTTTATTCAGTCCTTTTCCTACTTCGAAGGAATACACGCAAATGGATACTGTGACAACCAGTCTGAAATCTCAGCTCAGAACGAATCCTCCTTTCTCCGGGGTGGTCTCACTCTTCAACATAACCAGGACCGCTCAACATTATATCCAGGCCAGAGCCAGCCAGTTCCGAGGCTGTTGAGGATAGTTCCAGCTGTCTGCCCTGGTGCATTAAAATAGCTCCTTAGTGCATTAAAATGTTCCTTAGTGAAAAATTCTGAAACAATCCATTGCCCTTGGTCCAATGATCCCATCTGATAATACTGCGCATTCTTTGTGTGGAGACCCACGCGCTGTACTCTCACTTCTGCCTGGATTCTCTAAGACGAGGAGGCAGTTTGGAACACTGGTTGGAACTGTTGGGAAAGCAGCACACGCAGATTTTCCTGAAGGTGTTATCATTGCTGCTCAGCCCCTGCTGGCCTCACTTCCTCCTTGTCCAACCAGGACTGCCAGTCTAATGTCTGTCCATCCACACCTTGCGTACCCCTCATCTCCTGGGCCCATGTCCCCCTCCTTCCCTCCAATGGCCGTGTCTGACAAACCTCCATCATCGGTGAGCGCAGCAACCCACCGTCTCCTTGCCAGAGGTTTTATGTGCTTGTTTTCCAATCTGCTACGTCACATTTCGTAATTACTAACCCCCTAATAACATTCTCCTAGATCATCTTTGATTTCTTTAAAGCAGGAAACAGTGGTTTTAGAGGCTGATCATTTTCACAGCTGAGATCTCTGTGGGGCTGTTTTAATTGATTTTCTGCTGCTTCTCAGTCGTGCTGTTTGGGTTTTCATGGTGTTGGTATGTTTTGTTTATGAATCTGATTATCTTTGACTTGGTGCCAGACACGGGCTTTGTAGATATAATTTTTTTTTTATCTCAGATGGATGAGTCTTTCTCCAAAGAGAATTTTATTTTGCTTTTGCCAAATGCAAGGGGTATCAGCAAGTTGGGGCAACCTAGGACGAGGTAGCATTCAAGGTGAGAAGTGTCCCAGATCAGCTAGAGAACATGTTCACCTCTAGGTCATCTGTGCAATGAGTTTGTCTGTTTTCCCAGTTTGATACATTTGGCCTTTGACCTTTGTCCCCCTGTCCTGTGAGCACTGAGACGGGTGGGCCAGTGCCCTCGGGGCAAAGGGACAGCTGTGCCCCTCCCTCGGTACTCACGCTCTGCAAGATCCCAGCCTCCTGTCCCTCCCTGTATTTTTAGGACATTAATTAAAGTTCTTTCTTTTATTTTATCCAACTATTTAGACAATCAGGAAGGGTTGGTTTGAGTGCTCTCATCTGTAATTACTAAGATTGAGGTCAAAATCATTTCATGTGAAATTTTAAATAAAAAATAATGTCAGATTCTGAGTCTATCATTTCTTTAAATAACTCAAATGACATAGAGACTTATGTCAACTTGCATGAGATTTATCAACTTTAATTTCAACCAAAATTTTTTTTTACAAAACTTAAATGGTATTTATTATCAAATTGAGATAGCTGTTTGTTTTTGTCATTCTATGATTGGAATGTTTATTTTTTTACCTTTATTGTATTCCAATAAAAGTCACATTCCGTTGACCTCTGACACGCCATTGAACCATGTGACAAGACAGGATATAAAGCAGGGACTGAATGTTTAGACTCAGTCAGGAAGCATAGAAGAGACTTACAATTTGCGTCATTGCTAGTGCAACCCATGTGCTTTTTAAATGAAGGTGCCCAGGGGCAAGTGGTTGGAACTGGGAAGAATGGCTGATGCATGGCCACCTGCATTTCCCCACGGAAACCCAGTCTTGTGGGGAAAACCACACTTCCCACTTGGGGGGCTTCCCTAAAGAAATCGCCCTGTTCTGATTTTCCTATTCCTCGTGGAATCGCTCTCTGGAAAGGCATGTAAAGTGTTTTGTTTAATCTCTTCACCTTACTTTAGCCTCTGTCTTCTTGCTTTG